AATCAGAATGGAACTATAAAATATAGTTCGATCTGATCATTTTTCAATTTGAACTGTTTGTGCACACCCTTATTTCACACAACCATGTTGTTTATCTTTTTGCCATTTTCTTTTAATATACTATTTTGTTAATAAATTTTGAACACTTTTGACATTATATATATATACTTCTGTTTACATTATTTCCATTATTTCCGGATTTTGTTGATATCAAAAGATTGAGATAAATTTTTTGACAAAAATGATATAAAAATCACACACAATGGAGTGGTGTGACTATGTAAAAGTCAATTAAATACTCTCTATGTTAATAGTGAAAGTAGTGTGACATAGAATAAAATATTTAATAATTTATAAAACAACAAGAGAGAAAAATATTAGTCCCTCCGTTTTCTAATAATTGTCTCATATTCCATTTTGGGATATTTTTTAATTATTATGGACAATAATTATTGTAGATTTGTAGTCATAGTTGACAGAAATTTTGGGATTTAATCAAACAAAAATCAAACAATAAATGTGGGGCATACAAAATTTTAGGATTTAACCAAACAATAAATATGGGGCATTGAAATTTGACATCAATTTAATCCAAATTTGAAATCCGGATAGGATTTGCAGTCCTAGGTCTAACCTATCAACGGTGGACAAAGAATGCTGAAAAAAAGATACGGAGTAAATTAAGGCTTCATTGCTTCAAGGACAAATATGTCCTTTCAGGTGAAATGTAGGCGCGCTTAGTACTTGATGTGCTGCGCCGAGAAGCCCTGTTTTAATAAAATCTAGTAAATGTTCCTCGACATTTACATCACTAATTTTGGTGGTTTGTCTTTAGGGTTTAAAAAAATTTGTCACTTTTTTTTTATATGAAATGTCAAATTTTTGTCCATCCAAATTCCATAAGTAATATTCATGTCATTCTTTCCATATTAATCAATTATAAAATTACAAGTATTTAGTTAAAACATAAATAAGTGATAAAATAATAACATTATCCAATCATATGTACAAGGCCGGTTCTGAGCGGGGCAAGAGGGGCGATCGCCCTAGGCCTGAAAAAAATAGAAGAAAAAATAGGCCCAAAATTATTTCTTTATATATACTATGAGTAGACTTCTTTTTTTATTCTTAAGTTCAATTAATTAAGCCTAATGATTAATTTTGTTGACAATTTGAAAATTTAAAAGTCTTAAACAGAGACAAGTTTAAAACAGAATATATACATTAATTTTTAGCAGAATCGGTTGTAGTTTTTGAAAGCAATACAATTGTTGCTGCATAAATAAAAGACACGTCTTTCTAGTCCTCACATCTATTTAGCTTTTAAGGTTTTTTATTCAATTTAATTATAACACAACAAATTTATATACGGGTATTAGCCCTTAGTAGGAGTAAAATAAGCCCAAAATTCAACAATAGGAGTACAATCCTTTTATTCCCAAAATAGGACTAATATATGTCTCTTCTTCTCATTCTACCCACTTCCTATCATTTCCAATAGATTTATTTTATTAATAAGAAAATCATAGTTTTATTTATAATAAAAATATAAAAAATAATAAAATATTTATAAAATAATAATGAAAACGTGAAAAATAAAATAAATATAAAAAAATAAAAAATAAAATTATTTAAATTTTTAAAAAAAGTCCAAAAAATAAAATAGAATACCTAAAAAATATTTAAAAAATATGTAGGTCGTCACTGCCAACACGCCCTCTACCTCCCAGCACCACCGACTCCGGTCGCCAGAAAAAAATGCCATTACCTTGTGTAAAAAAATACCACATTTCTCAGAAAATGTCATAAAGATGACATTTTTACTCTTTGAAAATATCCAGCTTTCTTTTGCTTTCTCTTCAAAATTGCCATCATGATGACATTTTTTCCCCAACTTGGAAATCTTTTCCGGCGATCGGAGGTGGCGGTGCTAGAAGGTGGCTGAGGTGGTGGTTGGGGTCTATATATTTTTTAATTATTTTTTATGATTTTTATTTTTTTTATTTTGATTTTTTTTATATTTTACAATGATTGTTTAAAACTCCTATTATCAAGGACAAAAGAAAGGGTGAAATAGGAAGAGTTAGTCCTATTTTGGGAATTTAAACTTTAAACTCCTATTGTTGCAATTATCCTTTCATTTACTCCTATTTAGGTAAATCTCCCATTTATATAATTATTTTAAAGCCTGCTTCTCTCAAATTTCACTCCAATTATTCATTTCTTTCCAAATTTCAATAAGTTATATCTGAGTTCCTAATAGTAGTTGTAGAGGACGTCAAATTTGCAATCTTCTTGCGCGAGTCCTCTTGGCAGCCAAACATTTTGTCTCTTTGAAAACATTCATTCTTTCGAGACTTCAAACTTTAGACTCTCATCAGCGGTTAATAAATCATTCTCAACTTATGAATTCAATATGTGGTAATATTTCTTTTCATTTATCCTTTCAAAAGAAAGTTTATTGTTGTTATATGTGGCAATTGTATTGTTTGTCACATTTATTAGTGGAAAAAAGCTTGCGTATGAATCAATTATTAATGATTTGCTTCACATTGGTCTACGAGAAACGTTTTTAAGTAATGTTTTTTCTTTTTATTCGATACTTGTATTGTTACTTTTGCCTAAATATGTAATTTATATAATAATAAAGTGATTCCCGTCTTTATTTTATGAACTTCATTGCACAAATATGGTTTACTGTTTGTCATGGATATAGGCCCAAAATAGCGTACCGCCTATAGGCCCAGAAATTGACAGGACCGGCCCTGCATATGTATAGTACTCTAATCGTAATTGTAATAATAGTACAAATCAAATATCCTTATTTGAGCTATGAAGAATTATTACGTACACTATAAAACAGAATTGGCACGAATGTGATACGCGTTGATCGCCATGTTTGTGTTAAATAGCTCGAGACAAAACAAAATTAGCAGGAATTTGATGATTTTGCCAAAAATTCGTGCCAATTTGTTTTTTAGTGATCGTACCCCACTATGTCCTGGATAAAGATTCTCATTCCGCTTATGATGAGATAGAGCAAAATGGTTACTAAACCATATGCGCTTCTTTATTATGAAAAAACAGTCAATTTATGCAATACTCAAATATTCGAAAAAGATTTGAATATATTCAGATATGAGAAAAAACGTGGATATCAATATAGAATAAGATTCGATTTTTAAACAAATGCGAATCCAGATGTTTGCTAATTTATATGAATAAGAATAATAATATAGAGTAGACTGTTCAGTTTGATTATTTACAACCTTATGCATGGGTAGCTCACGAGTGACTAAATGAATCAGTTGGGTTGACATCTCAAATTCTATTCCTGTAACGGCAGCATGGGAGTTGATCAAATGTAATAGTTAGGATGTTTTGTGTAAGACTGTTTTTAGTCCGAGACAATACTAGATCAGATTGGACCGGATTTAAATAGACTACACCAACTAGACATAAACAAACCAGACTTAAACAGATCATATCAGACTTGAACAATTATTATAAAATACAAATAGACCAGACATTACTAGTCCAGACCAGACCAGTTCAAATCAGACCAAATTTAAACAAACTAGACCTGACCAGATCAGACCAGCAAATTGCAGTTCAAATGGCCGGTCCTGATATCGGGACAGGATGGGCGGCTGCCCAGGCCCATTAGGAAGAGGGGCCCATAAATTATTTAGTAGTAGTAGTGTGTATATATTGAGTCCAGTTCACCTCAGGCGCGCTTGATGGGGAGTTCAGTACGGCCAAGTCCATTAGTGGTGCTCCCAGATGAAATTGTTAAATGAAAGTTTGTGAACATCTTTTTCATTAAGTGTAGATTACATCCATAAATTTTCAACTTAAAATTCAATCGGGAAGTCTGTTAAATAAATTATCGAAAAATAGTGTGCTTTACATATGTTTAAAAAGTGTAGTATTTTTCAACAATTTATTTAACTAATTTTCCAATTGAATTCAAAACTGATATTTTCGTGTAAATATTCCAATTGTTATGAAGAATATTCGACCTAAAAGCTCTTTAAATGGATTTGTCTATACGGGACATCTTGTCGGCCGCTGCTGATCAAATCATTTCCCTACACTTCAATACTTCGTAAAAGATATCCTTCAACCCACATATCCGTAGATTGAGCCACAACATCAAAGCTTCACATGATACACTACATGATAGCATTCTACCTTCCCCACCTAAGCCAAGAATTAAAAATTGATAGTATTAGGGGGTGTTTGGATTTGATTCTTAAAACTGCTTCTGCTCCTTCAGGGAGCAGAAGCAGAAGTTGGAGTGTTTGGGTAAAAGTGCAGAAGTGATTCTGGTGCTCTAATTTACTCCTAGAATCAGTTTTTTTAGAAGCTGGGGGTGACCAGCTTCTGAAAACTGATTCTGATTCTGCTTCTGCTTTAAAAAAGAAGCAGAATCAGAATCAGTTCCAAACACCCCCTTATTGACAATTTTGCTTCTAAGAATGTCAACAAATTCTTTTGTATGGCTTATGATATCGAGTAGTTCTATGGACAAAACATTTACTTGTGTGATGAATTTTATTTCCGACAAAGAAACTTTTGTAATACATTTTTACGGTATATATAATTAGAGGTCTATTTTTTGTCTTTTGTCTCGAGCCTATAAAATGTCAGAATCGGCCTTGTTCAAACGGAAACATCCTTAGGCCAACCTTTGAGCTATCCAAACCTTTTGATATCTTACCTAAGGGGTGTTTGGATCTGATTCTTAGAACTGTTTCTGCTTCTTCAGAAGTTGGAGTGTTTGGATGAAAGTGTAAAAGTGATTCTGATGCTCTAATTTACTCGTAGAATTAGGTTTTTTAGAATGTGAGAGTGACCGGCTTCTGAAAACTGATTTTACTTTAAAAAAGAAGCAGAGGAAAAATCAGTTCCAAACACTCTTCCATTTAATTTACTCCCTTACATTTCATAATTAGAAAGTTAATATGCTCCATATACCATACTCCATACGCCATAGTATATAATCCACGGTCACTCATCCATCTCACATTCTAATCGCCAAATGAAAATGGTCCACTTTAAAGAACAACAACATAAAGTAGAAGAGGGAGGAGGAGGAGGAGAATTGGAGGAGGAGGAGAGAAGCAAGTTTTGCATTAACGACAATGTGGACATTGTTATAGAGATCTTGAAGAAGCTCGACGCCCCATCCCTGGGCGTGGCCGCCTGCGTCTGCACACTCTGGTCCGCCGTTTCTCGCACCCAGTCTATTTGGGAGAACCTCTGCTTCCGAGGCCAAGCGCCGCGCCCGTCCGACCGGGTAAGCACGGTCGTCTCTGCCCTCGGCGGCTACCGGAGCCTCTACATGGCCTGCGTCCGCCCCGTGCGGCTGTCGTCGCGGTCAGGCGACTCGGACTCCGGCATCGTGAGCCGGCACGAGGTGCAGCTGTCTCTTTCGTTGTTCTGCGTGGATTATTTCGAGAGAATGTTGCTCGGCGGCGACGGCCGCGACTCGCCTGCTTCGCCACCGCCGCCGTCGCTCTGTTTCCTTCGCAAAACGGTCAATGTGTAACGTGACTCTACAGTGGGAACACGTCATACGGCGTCGTATTATTAGTCTCACATTTTTTTGTTTTTATCCTTCGTAAAGTAATTTGAGATTCAAATCTCAACTATGCATTATTTGTTCCATTACATTCCTCTAATTCTCGAAATCATGTTTTGCCATAAAACAATTATTTAAGGAATTACTACTATTTAGCATGTCCAGACTAAAATCTACACCATAATAATTAAGTAATCCATTATGTAATTTAGTGTAAGTAATTCTTTTTTATTCATTGAAAAGGAATTACTCCATATCTGCATTTAAAATATCTTAGAGCCTTTTTAGTAGTACATATTTTCTCTTTGTAAGTTTTATAATCAAAATTCTATCGAATAAATATTCCCTCAATATTTTAAGTTGCAACGGTCCGATTTTCGCATTTTCCTACATACAAATTTGATCATTAATAAATTTCATTCCTTATTTATAAAAAAAACTAAAAACATCAGATTTTGAAAATATAAAACGAAAAAATTTGAACATCATTTTTAAAAATAAAAATAAAATACATTAATAAATAAAATATAGTCAAAGTAAAACATGTGAGTAGTATAAGATTTACGAATGTGGTAATAAAAAAAATGGAAGTAGTAACCAACTAACTATTTATTTGACGCATTAAATAGTGCAATAATGAAAATAATTGGATGAAATTATTAAACCCAATTATATTAGCAATTCGTCATCTATTTTTATATTTTATTAATAAAATATAAGTTAAATGCTCTGTATATTCTTTTCATAATTCAATAGCTTTAATTAATTCTACATCTTTAGTTAAAATTTTATCATTTTGGTAATAAATCTTATGAAGTAGATAGATGAAACTGTAATGAATTATAATGAGAATTGAGAAGAAGCTTAACTCTAGTCCTTGCCGTTTTTAAGGTCATACCTCCCATTCTAGTTGCTTAATTTAACTTGATACGGATTATATGTTTGTAAACCCAATGTAGCTATTGACCTATGTCTTTGTTTGTCCCTTTCGAGCCTTGGTTAGATTCCCTTTATTGTATTTGTCTACTAGCGTTGTGTTGTTCTCGTATTTTAAATACGACTTTATAGGTATACGTTGGTCAAAAATAGACGCTCGTAAATTCTTAGGAACACTGCGATAGGACAATCAAGCAAGAGTCGGGGAAAAAATAAGAATGAGAAAAGTGTTAAGAGAATTTGGTAACAAAAAATTACATGTTTATTAATTGAAACATATTTGTCTTTTATAGACGATTACAAATGGTAACGGTCAAACATAATAATAACTAACTTCATTACAAAAATTAATACGGAATTAAATACATGATTAAATATCGCATTAATGCCTGTTCGTTACTCTTCATGATGGCATGCCGGTCTGGCTGGCAGGCCAGACGCTTGAGCTTCCTCCTGCTGGATTGGATGGTAAGCTCCTCGATGGGCTGGAGGCACACTCTTGCCCGAGCGGGAAGGCATGCTCCTGGTTGGGCTGGAAGGAAGGCCTCTGGTAGGCGAGCCTCTGGTAGACAGACGTCTTGAGCTTCCGCTCCGTTGGACTTCCGCTCCTTGACAGGCTTGATAGGTTGGGTCGATTCGAGTTCTTGGTTACTGGGCCCACTGGTCGGGCTGACCTGTCGAGATAATGAATCTGGGCTTGGGCCCGCTGGTTAAGGTCATGGGTCTGGACTCACATGTACAAGTTCGAGGTAGGGACAAATTAGACTCTAGACCTAGTCTCATAACCCCATCAGTATATATTTTATGATTTAAGTCATTTAATACCCTTGGGCTATTCGCAACGACGGACCATTGTAGAGATCCAGGGGGCCACCACCGCCCCAATAATTTGTTTTAGTGTATATATATACAAAAAATAATTTTACTTCGCTCAACAAATAATTCTCACCCCTCCAAAAAAATTGAACCAACCCAAAAAATATTTCCGCCCCCAAAACATAGCCCACTCGCAGAAACTCAATTGTTTGAGAGCCTAAAAAAATACGGTAGAAATTATAAAAGTAATATTGTATCAGCCCACCTAAAAATTTATTCCCAACCCACCTTATTATTTATTCCCAGCGCACCCCAAAAGAGCTTTCCCGGCCCACAGCCTATCCCATAAACAAAACCGCGCATAGTGCACCTGGAAGGTTAGAAGAAAGAAAAGCGTAAACTGGAAAAAGAGACGAGCAATATATTTGTTCCGCCGATTCACCATCGCCGAAGAACTAAAGAAGGTGAGAAGCCAAGAATGGAGAATGCCAACTCGCCAAGCCACCAGCCACGCCTTGTTCTGCCGTCCACGCCGTACTGCAACTTGTTCTGTTTTAGAAGATTGAAGAGAGTGAAAATAACTTTTCTACTCGTAGAAATGCAATTAGAGCACTTAAGAAGATTAAATCTTTTGATTTTGTTTTCTTGTTGCATCTTATTAAAGAAATTATGGGCATTACAGATCTTTTGTATCAGCTTCTTGACGTGCACTCGTCGTTAGGTGCACTCAAAATAATTTATCAATACGACACTAATATGTAGTATAGTGTAGTAAGGTTCGTATCCACAGGGAAAGGAATACTTTTCTTTTATATAACTAGTAACAAGGGGGGTTTAGATTTGTTTGGTTTAATAACACTAAGATAAACGACCTATATGAGTTTAATTCAATGAGATGGGGACTTGGTTTTGCTTTTATCCACTTAATGAAATGTTCGTCGATCCCGGTTATACCTTTAACTATCTTCCTCTCGAATACTCAATCGAGGAGTATATCCAGTTCATCAAGGGTAGTTATTAATAACGAGATGCGTTCATTAATAAAACTTACTATCGAGTCAATATAGAACAAGCGCCGTATATTAACTTGATAGTAGCAATAAACTTAAGATGAAAACGATTGAGATTGATAACCTCAACACAAGCGGTTTATTGGTTTAATCAATATAATTAATTCCCCTTGGCATATTAACCATGAGATGCATGCATTAATATTCCAAGTTTTCTACCGTTGAAAGAACCGGATTAATAACAAGCGTATTAACCGATTGATTCTAATAATAATTAATATGAGAAACAATACTAGTTGATACTTTAAGTAATGTTTAAGATATTAACATGAAATATGAATAGGAATTAATTAATACTCAAGGAAGAATATTAAAATATATGAATCCTACTATGATTAATATCAAGATGTTAACTAATTGTCATCTAAGTAACACTCCCCAATATTATCATAGAGGAAGAAATAGCTATTACTATAACCAATGTCAAGATGTTAACTAATTGTCATCTTAGTAACACTCCCCAACTTTGATATAGAGATAGTATTTTGAAAGAAAGAATTAATATTCAAGGAAGAAGATTAAAGAAAATAACTCACAACTTACACATTCATTAAGCTTCAAAGTAGCAAAACCAAGATGGAAGAGTTTAGCTCCTTATTTGGAGACTAAACATGATGAAAAATATAAAGAAAGAGCTATTCTATACTGAGCTTAGATGTACAAAGGGATTGGATATATTTTTGTGAAGGAAAGGAGGTGTATTTATAAGCTTTTGGGAGCTAATTCGGGTACTCGATCGGGTATATACATGGTACCCGATCGAGTATGTGTGTAACACTCGATTCAAGGCATACTCGACCGGTTTCAGGGTATTTTCTAAGAGTATACCCGATCGAGTATATATGAATACCCGGTCGAGTATGCTTAGAAAATGGTATTCGAACCATACTCGACCGAAATTCTTTTGAAATTCAAAGGCATACCCGATCGGGTATGTCGGTCTACCCGATCGGGTATAGACATAAAATCGTGGTTGAAATCTTCCCTGCATGTTCCCTTGTCTTCGGATCTGATCCGATTTGAAGTTCTAACTTAATACCCGATCGAGTATAGCTAATACTCGACCGAGTATAGACCAAAATTCAGGATCTTGTCTTGTCTTTGAACTTTTGCACCTTCTTTTCACTTTTTGGGTTCACCAACTGTACTTTGAGTGACCAAAACCTGCTTGAGCTCAGAATATATCTAATCTAACCTATTTACTAGAATTTAACAATCTAATCTATTACACCAAAAGTGTGTAATTTCCAAAGTAAAAGTCAAGCAAAACTAATTAAAAACATAAACATAAATATGGAAATTACGAACGTATCAACTCCCCCACACTTAAACCTTTACTCGTCTCGAGTAAGATCAAATGTTTACAAGTGTCAATGTTTGTCCAAAAGTTCCACAGTTCAACAAAAACATAATACAAACACAAAGACTACCAAGAATGACAAAGAAAAATGAGTTTTAAACTCAAATTACAAAAGAGCATCTTGGGTTTAATGGCCTCCTAGTGTTGTCTTCTTTTCTCCTCCTCTCTTCTTTTTATCTTGAATCTTCTTATTCTTCATAAGGATACAATGAGTGCCTGCAAGAACAAACATTTCTCTTATATCTCTCATTTTGCCTAGAAGCCTTTTCAGATTTTCATCCTAGCACCTCTTTTCATTTTTCATTCTCTCCAACTCACTCATTTTTCATCCTAACTACAAAAGCACTTTTCACTATCACTTAATGATAGGCCACCATGTTATTGTGCTTCTTTAAAAGGCTATCGGACCGTTCTCGATCTTATTGAGCCTCTTTTAATTGTTAATCGGCCCATTTTAAATCCTATCGAACTATTCAAGATAACTATTAGGCCTTATTAAGAGAGGTATAATATGGATCATTGTGATTAAAATTTTAGGTCCAATTATAATATTCTAATTAGTTCATTTTTTTGGAAGATTCTAAGTGCATATTTGGCGGGCATAAGTGCCCGTCTTCTAATTTTTGTACTGTTTAAAAAGTCTATAAGAGCTTCTGGTTATATATTTGGCATGACAAATTTTAAGAGTTTTTCAAAAAAATAAAAGATATTTTTTGAGATGCTACAGAGAGTAACATCTGAGAAAAGTCTGTGGCTTTAGTATTAATTAATGTTAGCAACTTGAATACCAAACATAACTAAATCAAACAGTCAGTTTTTTACCAAACAACTACCACATTTTTCTTTTAAGATCTATTCAGTCACTTAAAGGTAACAGTTACTAAAAAGCTTACAAAAGTATTTTTTCATCTAGTTGTGTCAAACATACCCTATTTAGTTCATTTGATAAACGTACTATATTTAAGGTCCCCTAGACTTTAGCGTTTAATTAATTAATAGTAAAAAGTTTTTATATTTTACCAAAACAATTCTTTTATTTTTAGATATATACTTTTCTCATGTGAAATATATAGAATGAATACTTCATTCATTACTTGATTCAATGTAAGAGACCGTAACATACAACTCCCTCCGTCCCAGAAAATCTTTCCCAGTTGACTTGGCACACATACTAAGAAAGTGAAATAAAGTGAAAATGTATGGTTGTAGTTCTGTAAAAAAAAGGTGAAATGAATGTGAACCACATAAATTATCCAAAAATTGTAAGTGGGAAAAATATTTTGGGATGACCCGAAAAGTAAAGTGGGAAAAATTTTATGGGACGAATGAAGTACTATTTAGTGAAAGAAAATATAATAGTGTAGCTGAAATTATATTTGTGAATTCTGGTATTTTATACACCCTAAAATATGCAAAAAGTAAAATATTGAAGTAATGTATATATAGGATACTACAAAATTTAAGTGGAAAGTTGTTCACTTTGAGATGCATTAAAAGGAATACAAATCATCTACAGAAAAATAAAAAAAAAAATAGGTAAATCATGTGCTATGAAGTCAAAGTTTCGATTGTTCTGATCACGTATTGGTATGCTTCCTACTTCCTAACCGTACTTGCTTGAATTCCATAATTATTACGGAGTATTATATTTCCATTTCTTAAAGTGCTGTTATATACAGTTTTTTTTTGTAAATTAGTAACACATAATTTATAAACAAAGTATGACTAAATAATTATTCTCTGCTCTAATACAATTATTATATCAGTAAAAAAGATTCATGTACATTAAAGATGGCATATATTGTAAACAATTTTATTTAAATAAACATCGGTATTTCAGTTTATTTCCTTTTATTGGTTGAATATATTATTCAGTTATTTACTCGATTATATTTTTTTCAATTATTTATTTATTCTTTCTTGAAAAAGGTTATATTTTCATTGTTTGTGCGTTTTTTATTTAAATTGTTTCTGAGTTTTTAAAAAATAAGAGTTCTTTCTTTTTAGAAAAAGAAATATGTGATTCAATATTATCATTATTATTTGTGGCACAAAATGTAAATTTGTAATCACACAAATGGGATTTTTTTCGACAGAGGGATGGAGTATTTATTACTCCGGATTACGGAGTATTATTATTTTTAGAGCAAACAATCTACTTTTTCCGGTTAGTTTGAGTAATTGTCGAAATCTTGTCCAAAACTTTACCAATCGGCGTTTCCGGCCGGGTTTCTCGCAGTCCGCCGACGTCAGCGGCCGGAGCCGTATTTCTAGGCTTTCTACATTTTTTGTTTTGCACTTTTGCGCAGGTACTTTTCTTGGACTCTTCTAATTTATCATCCTTTTTTCAATATTAAAATCATTTCTTTAAGCCGTTTTTGGGTTTCGGAGGTAACCTAACCCGAACAGTTTGGTGTACATAGCCAGGATCCAGCTAGCTGCTGCATGGTTAGGGATCTAACGAAGCCTGTGCTGATGATCAGGTTCTGGTCTGATTCACATCGGTAACTGGTTACTTTTTGTAGTGAGTAGTTCTAGCTGTGTATATAATTCTGCTTTTGCTGTTGAGGTTAAGCTGGATCTTAGTTAGATGCGAACATTTTACTAATTTCTGACAAACTGGATTGTCTACTCCATATCTTGAACGTGTCGGTTCATTTGAGTATTGTTAAGTTAGATTGACTGAAATGTGAAATATCTTTGACTTGAGTTTGAAGATCTTGCACTTCTCAGTGGGTTTGTGACCAGTGTCTTTTAATGTATACGTAAGTTTAGCTTTTGATTTGTGTTAAGCTGAGTTGTTCTGATTTCTTATGAAAATGCTGCATTTTGGAAATGCTAAAGCAATGAATAATGCTCAATTCATTTCTCAAGGCGATTAAGGCTTGTTGTTTTTTGTAAGTTGATCCATGCAAATAAAGTTTAAACTTTCAAATTAATTCTATGTAACATATGCTCATTTGCAGAAGATTCAGCATGGTTGCTAAAGTAGAACTCTTATAATTTTCTTTTGGCGGACCCAATTGAAGCTAAAGATCCATCTGTAATGGGGTCAAACATAGAGGAAGCACTTAGAGCTAAGGCAGAGGCTGAGAGGAGATTTTTGGACAATGACTTTGTGGGAGCAAAGATGTCTGCTATTAAAGCAGAAACTCTATGTCCTGGTTTGGATGGAATAGCCCAAATGGTTTTAACATATGGAGTCCATTCTGCTTCCCAGATGAGAATTAACGGAGAGATTGACTTGTATGCAGTTTTGGGATTGGATCCATCCGCGGATAAGGCTAAAGTTAAAAAGCAATACAAAAAGATGTACAATTTACTTCAGCCTGACAGAAACAAAACCATTGGAGCTGACGGTGCATTCAAACTTGTTTCTCAAGCATGGGCAGTTCTCTCTGATGTTGCTAAAAGAAACTCTTATGACTGTAGGAGAAATTCTTTCTCTCACCACACTTCCGGGAAATCCATAAACTACTCTAATTCTTCATCCATGCCCCGCAACAGGCTTGAAACCTTCTGGACAGTGTGTACCTCTTGTCACGTGCAGTATGAGTATCTCAGAAAATATGTGAACAAGAGACTTTCTTGCAAGAACTGCCGTGGCGTTTTCAATGCTGTTGAGACTGGATTGGCCCCAGTGAATGGATCCTACCAATATTCCTCATGGTCTTACGTCCCTGAGAATGGGTTTGGAACACACGGATATGGGGCCCAACATAATGGTGTCTCCGGACACCATTCCAGACATGGTTTAGAGTATGCTCCAAATATATCTTTTACCCAAACTGCACAAGTAAATGGCACTATGGGGAAAAGGAAAATGGAAAAGGCTGCCACTGGATTTACCGTTTACACTGAAAAGCCCGTAAAAAAAATGGGAAGGCCCGCTAAGAAGACGAAAGTTGAAATTGGAAGTACTAGTGGAAATAATACTGCTGAAGAAGTGAAAGTGACCAATGAAAATGGAAATCTGAAACAAATTTCTAAGCTTCAAACTGCAAATGACACCTCTTCTAAGCGGTGTTCCTATTTTCCTTCTTTTGATTCTAGAAAGTTATTGATCGACAAGGCAAGAACTGTAATCCGTAGTAAACTGGAAGAAATCAACTTGGCTTCTGCAGAGTTGGATAAGAAGAAAAAAGAATTTTCCGTGATCCATAAAAGAGTGGGTTCGGGAGACTTGGAGAAGCATCCATCAGAACCAAAGGCAAGTGCGGCCCTGGCAATAACAGTACCAGATTCTGACTTCCATGATTTTGATAAAGATAGAGCAGAGGAATCCTTTAAGCCAAAACAAATATGGGCCTTATATGACGAGGAAGATGGGATGCCCCGCTTATACTGTCTGGTACGAGAAGTTATCAACTTGAATCCATTCAAGATCCATGTCAGCTACTTGGGCGCCAAATCAGATACTGAGTTCGGGTCAGTAAATTGGTTGTGCTCTGGCTTCACGAAATCCTGTGGGCATTTCAGGGCATATAACTCGGAAATAGTTGACCAGATCAACATTTTCTCTCACCATCTGAGTAGGGAGAAAGCAGGCAGGGGTGGTTGTATTAGAATCTTCCCTAGAAGTGGAGATATTTGGGCTGTCTATAGGAACTGGTCATTGGATTGGAACAGATCCACTCCGGATGAAGTAAGGCACCAGTATGAGATGGTCGAGGTTCTTGATGATTATTCTGAAGAACTTGGGGTGCGTGTGGGACCATTAATCAAATTAGACGGATTCAAGACAGTATATAGACAGAGCCTGGATAAGGAGTCAATTCGCTGGATCCCTAGAAAAGAGATGTTGCGGTTTTCACATATGGTTCCTTCTTGTGTACTGGAAAAAAACCATAATAACCTACCAGATGGACGCTGCTGGGATCTTGATCCTGCTGCAACCCCAGAGGAGCTACTCCAAGGAGGGGTAGAGGAGGCTAAAGGAGGACTACCAGTAAGCTCTTCCAGAAACAATAATGTAGGGACAGAAGGGAAGACTGGGGGGCAGCCAGAAAGCTCAGCTCTTTCAGGTCTGTCTCATGAATCCGTTAGTGAAGTTCAGCAGGTTCAAACTGATAACCACAACCTTAATGAACCGCCGGGCTTCCCCCAAAATCATTCTGAGCCACCTGGTTTCCCACAAAACTGTACTGAACCGCCTGGTTTCCCGCAAATTCATACTGAACCGCCTGGTTTCCCACTAAACCTTGCGGAACCGCCCAGTTTCCCACTAAACCCTACTGAACCGCCCGGTTTCCCGCTGAACCTTACTGAACCGCCCGGTTTCCCACTAAACCTTACTGAACCCCCTGGTTTCCCACTGAACCTTACTGAACCGCCCGGTTTCCCACTAAACCTTACTGAACCGCCGGGTTTCCCACTAAACCTTACTGAACCCCCTGGTTTCACGCTAAACCTTAGTGAACCAGCCGATTTCTTGCAAAACCTCCCTGAATTGCCCAGTTTCTTGCAAAACCATACTAAACAACCCGGTTTCGGGCAAACCCTTTTCGAACCTCCCGGTTTTGGGCATACCCTTATTGAACCTCCCGGTTTTGGGCATACCCTTAACAGACCTCCCGGTTTTGGGCAAAACCTTAATGAACCGCCGCCTGGTTTCTCTAATTTATGGGAGATTCGAAATGAAAATGGGGCTGTGAAACAGAACAAACTCAGAAGATGAGTTTGACAGAAGTCTTAAATGGAAATTTCCCTCGGACAATCGGAGAGAAGTGTGATTTAACTTGTACAGATTGAGGACAGGGAATGAAGAAATGTTGAGACATTTATATTTACTCCCAAAGGTAGGCACGGGGACGGCTCTTAATCTATTTGAGAATGTCATAGTAAAATTATTTTAGATTTATGTACTAGTTTTGGCCAATGTTGTAACATGTGTGATTAGTTGAGACTTATTTAAGGGGGTCAGGATCTTATTTGGCTGTGCTTAGGAGCACAGCATGGGTGCTGTGGAAATGATCCATCCAATCAAATCTTTTGCTCGTTTTGTCAATCTGATTAAGAGTTATGCAGGCATGATCTAGACCATTGGTTTCCCATGGTACCCACGCTGTGCTCCTTGACACAGCAGAAAAATCCTCTCAGAAAAGAAGAAAATCCCATTGTACGTCCTACAAATTTTCTATTTGTGCCCCTCCATGACCGCGTGTCAAATTTGCAACTCACGACATTTTATATACATACCCACGCAATTACCACTCACTTCTTTCTGGTGTACGGAAAAAAACTCACTTTCAAATTTGGAATTAGGAGTGGACTCGGGCCGGGCCAACCGGCCCGGTGAACCGGTTGGTTGCCCGGTTCGGGCCACCCGGCCCGGTGGAATGGCGGTTCGGGCTCGGGTCCTTCAATAGGTGAACCGGCCCGGCCGGTTCGGACCCGTGCCGGGCCAATTTTTTTTTTTTTTGAATTTTTTTTATGTTTTTGGGTTGGGCTGGGTATTTTGGGTCATTTGAGGTGGTTAGGGTTGGTTTGGGGGTGAGGGGGGAGGGTTGGGGGTTAACTAGGAAAAGCCAAAAAAAAATAGAACCGAGGTCCGGACCCGGGGGTTACCCGGGCCGGTTCCGGGCCTCCCCCTTCATGAACCGAGGCCCGGCCGGGCTCAGGCCCGAACCGGAACCGGTCCACCCCTATTTGGAATTCACAGCAAACTAGTACAGTAGTACACTATGTATATAATACGAAGTGCATGATACTGTGTTTTAAGCTTCATTCAACTTCATCATTCAATTTATTTGCACGCCAATAGATAACTACACATTTTGCTCATACAGACAATTAAAATTGACCATACACATAAGTAAAACTGATCACACCTATTGTTTGTGTAATAAAATCTATATGAAAATCCATAATTTTGTCACGAATCGTCTATGTATAAGCAATTATTATCCGTGCACACAAACGCTTTGCACACAGACAATGATTTGTAGACCAACATTGATTTACACTTCTTTAGGTGCGGTGTATGTGGAGACAAGCCTTTTCTGCTTTTACTCTTCACACTATTATGTTAGTGACGCTTTTGGCAATCCACTTTGAGTTTTTTCTTTTTTAGTCTTTCGACATCGTGCGAAAGACACTTTTGATGTGTCTTTAAAATTTTCCATATCTAATCATTCAACTTTAAAAAAAAGACATTTTTGGTCATTCAATTATAATCATAATGATGTTTTTAATCATCTGCTTATTATGGATTTTGTGAAAAGACTAAAAGTAGGGGTGGACCGGTTCCGGTTCGGGTCTGGGCCCGGACGAGCCTCAGTTCATGAAAGGGGAGGCCCAGAACCGGCCCGGGTAATCCCGGGTCCGGTCCGTGCCGGGCCTCGGACCCTTGGTTCTTGTATTTTTTTTTGCTTTTCCTAATTAACCCCAACCCTCCCTCCTCATCCCCAAACCACCTCAAATGGCCCATCATACCCGGCCCAACCCAAAAACTTAAAAAAAAATCAAAAAAAAGAAAAAAAATATAAATTGGCCCAAACCGGGCCTGAATCGGCCGGGCCGGTTCACGATTTAGGAGGCCCAGGCCCGGCCCGCCTACCTCACCGGGCCGGGTGGCTCGAACCGGGCACCAACCGGTTCACCGGGCCGGTCCGGGCCCGCACAGTAGCGGGCCGGTTGGCCCGGCCCGAGTCCACTCCTAACTAAAAGTGTTAATTTGACAATACTCATGAATTAAATTTGAGAAATTATAAGGGCGATTAAAAATGTCTCTCGTACAATAATCGATGGACTAAAAAAGAAAAAGTTCATTATTAGACACAAATCACACAATAGTTGAGGGACTAAAAATGACAAAAGCTCCTATATACAATCAAAACTTCTTTTGTGTATAAAATCTTATCCTCGTATTTACGCCCACAGGCAATTCCATATTTCAATGTCCAAAGACTTTGTGCACAAAATGAAAGCTTTTGTGCAACAAAAGCTAACTTTGCAAAGAAATGGATCTCCACAACTTACTGGTCTCGACTTGTCAAATTTTGCTACACTAAGATTGTTACTCCCATACTAGGCCTATTTCAATGTCATAAGTTCAGGTGTAAAAGTCACTCCTAAAAGACCAGACGATTAGAAGAAGAGAACACCTTACTTATAAGCAATTGATCAAGCCCATACTTGATCGGTGTGGAATCGTAAGAATATCACACGCTTCAAAGAGCCAACATCCTCGTTGAGTCGTTGGTCACAATTGGTTCCACAGGACCCAAGCCACCACTCCATAGGCCACTCCGAATGTCAGGACCAAGAAGATGAGGATGGCTCTGATACTAGTTGTTACGAACCTAGCTCATACTAGGCCTATATCAATGCCATAAGCTCAAGTGTAGAACTCACCCCTCAAAGATCAACCAATTAGGAGGGAATAAGCCACCAATCAAACTCATACAAGATCCGTATGGAATCCGAACAATGTGGCGGTGTAGGCGGTGTAGCTTTACCATATAAGGTAGATTCCAATTGTAGACAAGGCATACTCGTTCTAATGTTTTTTTATAGTTAGTCCTGACTCCTGAAAGGTATATTTATTGCTTCCATAAATTTAACAAATATTTGCTATCAAACTTCAATACGCTAATAATTTCTTTTCCATTAGAGGGGCACTTTCAAGTTCCAACTCATCGTTGCTACATTCGAAGCTAATGATAACATATTAGTATATCTCTAAATACCAAATATAGAATGGGGAATCCGACTAAGTAGAACATTACTAATTGAATAAAATTTTCAAAAACTCTGCTTAAAACATTGCAATATTAATCCCAGAAAATACTTTTAAAAAGCTCCAATCCATTCATCAATCTGTGCTGCTCCTCAACTTCAAAAAGCTACTAAAAAAGCATTGAAGGTTTCCACGTACTCAGTTGGGTTCATTACTTCTGCACACCAGCTTCGGCAGGCTCCACCACCTCAGCCTCCACTGTTTCAGGGATATGTGTTTGGGAGGACGCTGCTGTGTGCTGCGAAAATCCATCTGAAGCTCCCCACTTTCCTGACAGAGCCATGCTCATCATTCCATAGATCTTACTTCCTAGCTCAGATGGATCTTCAGGCTGTATGGCATTGAGAAGATCAACAATAGAAAATGCAATGAACACAAAAAAAGTGTACGTAGTGGGTAAGGTATAGAGGGGTGAGTAGACTTTTCCAAAGTTCTTTTTCAAAACTGTTTTCCAAAAATATATCAAATGTACGTGATGTGACTCTCTTCGACAAACTTCAAACTACCCAACTCCACATAAATTCATGAATATTGATGTTTGTAAACAATATCAAAAAATTGAAATGCAAGTAAAATAAAGGTGTAACACTATTTACTCACAGTGAAACCACTAGAAACCAAAGCCGCGTCATATAAAAGATCAATTGCTTGCAGGGCTTCTTCGTCACTTGGGCTATTCTTTGAAGCCTCCTGTAAATTTGAAGTTGAGAAACAAACAGAATAGAAAAAGTTGAAATGGCATATTGACATAGAATAATCATTAATTGAACCAAACCAACTCACGTTTAATGTCCTGATGATTGGGTGGTTAGGATTTATCTCAAAGACTCTCCTGCTTTTCATAAACGCCAGGCTAGAGGCATCACCACCACCACTTTGGGCCTTCATCAGCCTGAATGGGGAACACATTCAAAACAGAAGTTCAGAAAACCTCTTGCAGTACATGCAACTTAAATGCATGTGAATACGTGACAAATTTCACCTTTCCATGTTTGCAGACCAACCAAACTTTCCAGATACTAGAACACAAGGAGACGAGCTGAGACGGTTTGAGATTTGTACACTTGCCACTTTTTCACCTAACCGGTTCTTTATCCAATCACAAGTCGGGCCAAATTCTTGCTTCATCTCCTTCTCTGTATCCTCATTCTTATCACCTTCAAAATAAAAGTTCAAATATGTCAGTAGCAGAGATTAGAGAAATCTAAGGCAAGCTCATTATTTATCATACATAAGAACAGCGAAAATCTGTTTTGTAATTTATTTAAAGTCCAATTGCACACAAAAACAGATAGCTTCAGGCTAACTAACCCAGATCAAGATCTTCTTTGCTAATATCAACAAACTCTTTTTCCTTGTAGGATTTGAGACTCTGGATAGCAACCTCATCAATGGGATCAACTAAAAAGAGTACCTACACCAAGGGCATGAAAATTGGTGCTAAAGAAGTGATTTCGATACGTTTGACTGTAAGAGCCCAACTTAACGTGTTTAAACAATATCATACTTCAAGATCTTTCTCAAGAAGCTTTTCAAGGAAGGGAGTGTTCTTTGCACTTGCTACACTATCAGAAGCAATAAAATATATTTCCTTCTGGTCTGGCTTCATGTTCTCAACATATTCATCCAGGCTGATCATGTCTTCCTCACTTTGTGAAGAGAAAAATCTCAGCAATGGGGCAATGCGCTTGTGGTTCTCACGGTCTTCAATGCAGCCTATTTTTAGGTGCTTGCCAAAATTCTCATAGAACTTCTCATAGTCCTGTACACGAGAAAGTGTGAGTAGTGAAAAGAAATAAAAAGCAAAAGTCAGGGAAAAAGCAAGACAGTTATCTGCACTAGAAATTATGTTGCAAACACAAGGCATTCCATGCAAACATTCCAGCATTTAGGAGTCTTGAAAGTTTAGATGGAAAATATTAGACGCAAAGTAACTTACATCTCTATTATCACTCAAGGCTATGCCTTGGATCATCTCAAAAGCTTTCCTCACCAAACGTTTCCTCATTATGCGAACCTTTTCCAAAGCAGTGGTTTGTCATAGCCCAAAAACTAGGACAAAAATAATAATAATAATAACTGTAACAATTCCAATTTCAGGTCTAGACAGAAATACACTCACAATGCGACTCTCTTGAAGTATTTCACGTGAGACATTCAACGGGAGATCATTTGAGTCTACCACACCTTTAACAAAGCTCAGATATCGAGGGAACTGCTCCATAAACAAGAGAGAAGAAATAGTATTTGGATTTAATAAATGATCTCCTTGTCCATCACTGAATAAAAAAGATGGTTCTATTTGGGTTTAAAAATAACATGAGGGTAAGGGTGAGAGACTTCCGTACCAGTTCACCATCAAAATCACTTGAAATGAACACCCGCTTCACATACAACCTTATATTTTTTGTTTTTCCATTGATAAAGTCATCCTTGCCCATTGGAGAAGCTGCTGGCACAAAAAGGACAGATCTGAACTCTACTTCTCCCTATCCCAACAAAACCAAAGACAAAGGTTATGACTTGTGATGAAGTAAAAGTTTCCAAATTTACATGCTAAAATTTGTGCCAGTCTATAAGCTGTGAAATTGACGGGTGTTTACATTCCACCCCCAGCACATAGGAGCTCAAATGTGAAGGCATGAGATCGGATCAGCTTATCAAAAGTTCTCAGATGGGCATATGCATGCTTGAGACTCCTAGTCTCCTACAAGTGTCTATTTCTTTGAACGGTGAGTATTTTGTTTTCTTTTGGACAAAAATCTATTCAATCTTCCTTTAGTTCTCAATTTATTTCATTTAGCAAATCTTGCCCAGGAAATCTTTTTCTCTTGAGGAATTGAAATGCCAAGACAAAACTGAGAAAAACTCCATTCCTATATCATTCATGATTCTATTATTCAAGATCCTTGTGAACTGGGTCTGATCCTTCTTTACATTGCAATAAAGCATGATACTATGATAGCATGTCAGCATACCCCGAGTGGCTCAAATGAGGAAGTTTATTGAACTCCAATACCTCAGTCGTAAAATGGGAAGATGCGAGAGGCTCCAAATATTCATTGAATGTCTTCTTATAGAACTCATTATATTCCTCTGTAGTAACCTCCTTCGGATTTCTAAGCTGCATGCAAAGTAGAAAGACATGTTTCTAACTCGTTCTTAATTGAATAAGATAAATAATGAACCGGAAAAAGGGGAAATGCATAGCTCACCCATATAGGCTGAGTCTCATTTGTAAGATCCCAATCCCAATATTTCTCCACAACTGTTTTGGTCTTCTTCTTTTTCTATTGCATGAAATAATAACACAAAATGTCAAAATAGAGGGATAACACAAGGTTTATTGAATGAAATAGGCCATAAAATTGAGGCAGGGACCTCAGTTGGCTCATCTTGTCCATCATTCTTGGTATCTGCTTGATCCTCATCAACTTCAACCTGTGGAAGATTGTATTAAAAGCGACATAGCGGAAAAATTATACTTCGAAATTTAATTGAAAGATTGAGCTTGCCTAAATATATAAAACCAGCGGGCAAGTGCTTTCTTTACAAATTGGAAATTCATAGTGATAAGATGTACATTACCTCTTTAGTGTATCCCTTTTCTTGCCATGTATAGATAGGGAACGAAACAAACTGTGAATAGTTTTGTATAAGCTTCTGTATTTTTTCAGGATGTGCAAAACCCTTGTCATCTCTCTGAAAACATAAGATAAGGCATGCATAAACATCAGAATATCATATATGCTCCAAGTGATTTACATTTGCTAAGCATGTGTGGCAGCGTGGGAAGCTATTCTATCAACTAACCTTAAGATATAAGGTGAGGCGAGTCCCTCTAGGAATGCATTTGCTTGGGTCAGTCTCTTCTCGAATGCTATACACACTAGAATTAGCTTCTCCTTCCCAAACATACTGTTTGTCCGATTTAGGGCTCTTAGTTGAAACTTCAACCTGTTAGCATAAAGCAATGGGAAGTGATGTGCTTAATCTAGAATTTAAGGCATGTTAAAGGCATCTGTTGGTAGGAGCAAAATCTACCCGTTCAGAAACAAGGAAAGCAGAATAGAATCCAACACCAAATTGCCCAATCAGGTTACTATCAGCTCCGGCATCCTTGCTATCCTGTTATAAAGGTAATAATCTCTATGATTTATAAGTGATCATAGTATCATACCAGTAGGGTGCACAACGAGGAATGATTATTTCAGACGTACCTTCAGTGCTTTCAAAAACTTTGCAGTTCCACTTTGAGCTATAGTACCAAGGCAGTCAACAAGTTCCTGGCGAGTCATACCAATTCCAGTGTCTCTGCATACAGCATACAAAGTGATGACTTCTAACAATGCAAAACCAGAAGAAATGAAATGTGTATAATAAAAGGAGTTTAGATTACGTGATTGTTATTATGCCATTATCTTTATCAGTCTGTATACGGATATCAAGATCAACTGCATCCTTTAAAAGATCGGGCTGTGTAACACCAAGGAACCTCAGCTTATCCAGAGCATCACTTGCATTGCTGCATTGAAATAATAATTGTGACAACTCCTTATTCGCAACCAATTTTGATGAAGTGTAGTGGGTATTCCCTTTTTATCAGAACATGCATTGCATGTAAGTGTTAACAAACTCCAATGTATCACAATAATAACTTTAATTTAATACATATATCTTCATTAAGAGGCATAAAATTCACCAAACAAAATAAAATAAAATAAAATAAAACAATAATGATTTAAATGAAACACGAGACTGACTCAAGATGGAGATCTAATATAGGACAAAGCTATGTTTTTCTCTAATATAGGACACTTACAGTAACAGTTTCTCCACTTTCCCATTTTTTAATTATTTTCCAGTAACAGAGAGTATAGATCAAGTCTCTACCAATAGAAATTCATTAAATTAAGAAAAAGAAATGAAGTTACATTATCACACTAATGAGGCCCTCCCCTTTACATAACCGCATCATCATGTTACGCCTTTTAATTAAATAAAGGAGTAATGGCAAACAATCATTATCACACTAAAGAGGCAAGCCCATCCCTTATGCTACAAATTTTATCCACCATTAATATATATATATCTTAAAGGGATCAACCCCTTCATTTTTATCTAATATGCACAAAAGTTTGGAACTAACATTACTTCTTTATTAACCATGAACGAGTAGGTTAAAGACAAAAAAAAAACTAAATTTTAGAGTTCAATGCATGCCTGATTAGCTCCCGGAGAAACACTTCTTTGTTGCTGTATAAACTGTTAACAATTAAATCCATCAGACGGCTAACCTGCCACAGTCCCACAGAGGCACAAAGCAAGCTTATATTATTCTCAACATTTAAGTTTTACGATTTGTAGTTCATGTTCCATGCTTTATGAATAGCTTTTCACCAATGCTAACCTCTGCCTGATATTCATACTTCTCAGTCACTGCTCCTGGTGTATCAGATGCAGCAGATGTTGATTCATTTCTGTTTCCATGAAAAACTCCTCTTGTGTTGTATGGATTAATTGTTTTAGCGCTACTGTGTCTTTCCAAAGACAATGCCGAATAACATCTACCCATGGGACCATTCTCGCCAGCCTGTTCATCAATCAAGTATAAAACAATTCACATCAGCTTCCCTGTTCTCACGTGTCTTTCAGATTTAGGATGGGTAACGATGATAACATGGCAGAGACCATCACCTATTTTCAGTATTTCAGACAGCATTGGTATTTTCAGACAGCATTGGTTCTTAAAAAGCACATTCATAGTTTTGTAAAACTGTATTAGCAACGTCTCAATGTCACCTGTCAAATACTGAACTCTCCTAATTTATATTTGAAATGCGTGTTTGATTACAGTGATGAGGGATGCAGGTGACACTGACATTTTGATTTTTTTAAATTTCGATTGAAGTGTTGGGGAGGTTTTCCTTAACACTTTTAAACACTTACTAACACTTTGATTTTTTTAATTTCTCTACCAAACAAGTGTTAAGACCTGCACTCTTTAACACTTCGATTAACAACACCTATCAACACTCCATCCAAACAGGCCGTAAGGCTACAATATTAACAAAACTAAGTGGAAAATGCAATAAGCATTAGAAATGGAAATTTACACCACCAAGGTCCTAATGACATATAGGGATAACAAAAAGAAAACAGAAATGTCATTCACTTAATAGAAAAGAGACCTAGAAAGCATTGCCACAAGGCAAAAGAAATGTTATCATCAGGGGATGATTTTGAAATCTAATGATATTCTCATCCGTTTCCCAAGAAAAGGTATTCCAAACAAGCAAGTAACTGTCGAATGCCGAAAGGCATCACCTTCGTGATTGTGTTGAACATATATTCATCCATTGCCGATAAATGTCCAGAGTACTCCAAAGAAAACACAACGTAAGATTCATTTAGTTTCAACAAGTACGATTGCACTTTCTTCATTCTACAATAAAACCTCAGTTTTCCAACCAACAGTAAAGAGTAGGCAAACATTAAAAAACTTCAGAAGGCTATCTAAACTATGAATACCAGGTTGTTGAGGAGACCAGATGATGAAATCGGAGCGGCTTCATTCCGGCGACGCAGGGACCCGGCGCGGAGGACGGCGGAGAGAGATCGCCTTGAGATCCGGTGCATTTTTTTTATTACTTTAAAGCAGTCGGAAGAAGGTTTGCAAGGGACGCTGCGATTAGCAGATTGCGTTGGTGAATCGTGGACTGCGGTAGAGTAGGGTTTATGATGGGTTTAACGAAGCTTCTGGAGATGGGCAGTTCATTTGTTTAACGGGTAATAATGTAATATGGTCATTTATTCACTTCACTCGTGTACTTTAGTTGAAACAGATGTTGAATTTGTTATCCTTTCCGCTAGACGTCTACGCCACAAAATAGACTCTATTTGTTATTCTCGAAATAGGATTTTTTACTGGGAAAAATACTGTCATAATTGAAAAATACTGTCATTAATTATAATTAATACTGTCATGTTAAATGCACTGTACTGCAACTATTTGACAGTCACGCCTAAAAGATGACAGTAAATATTGTCATGTTAGTCCTATTTTGGGAATAAAAACATAGCCGTCTTATTTTGGAATTCCAAACTTCATTTACTCATATTTTCGGAAATCTCTCCTAAAAGTCATTTTTGTGTTCAAATGACATGGTGTATTTCTCCATATGAGCAAAATTTGTAAAATTATACGGAATATATACTCAACGATAGACAAATTATATCGTGGTACCGATCTACCATATGCATGGTATAAAGAGACCACATACGGTGTCGTTTTCCTTTTTTGAAGCACTACGTAAGTTTCTTTTCTCTCATGTCCTCCAGGTTTGTTTGGAGCACTATTTCCTCTCTTTATTTTTCTTTTTTGTTTTCTCCAATTATTTTCACCTCCATCAAAATTGTTTTCTATTTCCTCATCAAGTCTAGTTTATCCATGATAGAGTAATTATCTAGAGAGAAGTGAGAGCTAGAGAGAGAAGTGCAATAAATACTTGTTATTAATGATTTTGTGAACCCCATACAACTACCCCCAAGAGGGGTATTTATAGGGGAAATGCGGGCTGTGCTCCCAAGTCTTGGGCTTGGAAGACCCATCTACAATTAGGCCACTACTGGGCTGAGTACAAAGAGTGTAGAAATAACTAAGTATGAAATCTGGTTCTGGGAGCTCTCTGTGACCGACGAGGGTCTCGCCGACGGAGCCACGGCCGACGGGGACACCCGGTTCTCCTGACTTCTGGACCATGTTCTGAGTTGATATCTTTCTAGCCGATGGAGGATCATCTGGCCGACGGAAGCCCCACTGGGGTGACGGCTGTGCTTCTTATTCTTTTGAGTATGTGAGTCCCGGGGTCTAGACCCATATACTCCATCAGGAGTCTCCCTGTAACACCGCCCCCGAGTATTTGTACTGTACCAAATTATGTATTGAACCTTGAGAAATGTATAAAAGCATTTTTACGTGATTGTAAATTTTTATCGTTTCTATTACGTGAATAGTAAAATTCACGTGGGGCCCACACCGGATGTGGGGCCGCCCGATATTATCGGGACCACATATTATATTAATCTTGGACTAGATAATATGTATATGGTGATGGATATCCAAATTGGGCCTGGTAATGGCATAGAGATGACCGGTTGGTCAAATGGGGCCAGATTATCGGTATCGGCAAATTATCGGATAACAGCCCAAAAAGGGATCCCGGAGACTTCTAAATTAAAGTTGGGGAATGCATATTGATTCTAAGGTCCAATGAGGATTGGGAACAAGTGTTATATTTTATTTGACCCGATAAAATAAAATATACTTAAAACAGTCCGGAAAATACAACTTTCGGGACCGATTGTACACGTCGGGATTTAAAGGGATGACCTCCCACATGAGTGGGGGCCACCCCACGAAATTATATGAGACAAGGCATGGGTTTGGGCGTCCAAATGGGCAGGGTTTTTGCAGGGAAGGGCTGACTTGGGGGTTTTGACATCAAAAAGGACAAGGTAGGGCCATATTTTGGCTATCATTGAGGTATAAGCCAAAATAGAGCCATATCCCTCCCCCCTTAGCCCATATGTCCGACCAACCTAATCAATATTGAGAGAAAGCTCTGCAAATATTCATTTTCCCCATTTCCATTCGAACCAAGCTCAAGAAGGAAGAAAAGGAAGTCCAAGGAGGATTAAAGAAAGGAAAAGCTAGGGAAAGTGTGAAGAATCAAGGTAATAACCTTGTAACAACTTTTCCTTAACTTCTTATATACCATATGACCAATATATCACATGAAGGACCCCTAGTATTGTTCTACACTTTTAGATGTGTAGAAAGAGGGGTTGGAAGGTGGTTCTAAGCCCAAGAACGGACTTAGAAGCCAAAGTGACCGGTTCGCCGGAAAATAACCTTTTGGAGGTTATTTGTATTACTATGGGTTTTATGATGATAAAACCTTGTTAGTAACTTGTCTAAGGTATTCGAGGAACTTTCACGGAGTTAAAAAGGTCGCCGGAGTTGTCGCCGGAGTTCGTTGAAGTTCGCCGGAGTTTCGTCGGAGCTAAATCGGGGAGGCTAGAACTTCATAAGCTTCATTAAGGTGAGAAGACGGCTTTATGCTTTATAACTTTTGCGTGAGGCATGAGATTACCTAAAGTAATCAGGAATATGTTTTGTGGGATGATTAAAGATAACCAAGTGTGTGTTTATGCTATGATTATACACAAAACATAGTTAAAAAGCATGTTATGTAGGTTTGGTGATTAAAAATGTGATAACATATTTTGTGTGATGATCCAGGGATCCAAAATGGTATTTTTGGATCAAGGACATCCAGAAGTATTTGTGTATAAAATTTCAAGTTAATCGGACTCCGTTTGGGGGGTCAAAAGGGGCGTTGACCGCCAAGTCAACTGCCATACCCGATCGGGTATTGACACATACCCGACCGGGTATTTGTTGAAAATCAGCTTTGTGGACTACTGTCTCCTGTACTCGACCGAGTATGGGTTAATACTCGATCGAGTATTGGGTTATGCTCAAAACGGGCAGTTTTGAGCGGGTTAATGTGGGCCGTTCGGGTGGGACCCGCCCACGTTGGATCCTAAGGATTGTTATATGACTATAGGGCTAGGAATTGTCCATAGTTAAAGGAATGAAAGGTTAGCCATATCCAGGTTAGGATTTGGTAGAGAATAGACTGGGGATTGAGTACCCTTGGACGGTAAATGATCCAGAATACTCCAGGTGGGGTCGAGTACCCTTGGACGGTAAATGATCCAGAATACTCCAGGTGGGGTCGAGTACCCTTGGACGGTAAATGATCCAGAATACTCCAGGTGGGGCCGAGTACCCTTGGACGGTAAATGATCTTAAATACTCCAGGATGGGTTGAGTGCCTTGGACGGTAAATGATCCTAAAACACTCGGTAGTATGAATCAAAGTTAGACTATAGCTTGTGAGCTAGATAACCGGGGAAGGAGTGAGAAAAGTCAGGTGAGAACTTTATCTCTAAAGGACTCTTTAAAGTAAATGACCTACGGGTTGAGTATTTTACGAGTATATATACAGTATGTATCATCGGGTGGATGAGGGACATCTATATGTATATATCACCCTATTTTTGGGTCTCGTGTCTGAAACATTAGTTATTCTTCATATAGCCTGCTTGTCACTAGTACTTCTATGGAGTACTGACCCCTCCGGGGGGCCCTCACATTTTTCAGGTTGAGGCTAGAGTCCTACTACCTGCACCTTTGCCTAGGGTGACTGATCGAGAAGGAAGACGTGGTTCGTGCTTCCATTCTTATTTCAAATGTATAAACCGCTCATGTATTTTTGAACAATATTTTCATTAAAACAGTGGGGGCCTGCGTGCCCGTGTTTGCCACGTGTGGCTAAGTATCAATCATTTTATTATTCCGCATTTGTTTGATTATGATATTGATGTTGATTGTATGTGTTTACTAATCGGTTTGGCAATAGAATCAATCGGACGCCTTGTACAACTCAATAGGGATGAACTGTCGTTGTTCTTATCGGGTTGTACGGCGGTTGTCTACGTGGCTCGGATGCGGTCCGGGGCGTGACACTCCCACTCTCTGAGCTGAGATGCAGACGAAGTGAGGGAGAGTAGATTCCATAGTCTCGATGTTTTCTGACCGGTGTGGGACCGTTATGGGCATTGTGGCCATTTCCTGTTTTGGTTCTTCGTGTCTGGCCGTTGTATGCCTTCACTATGAACGAAGAAGGTTGATGTTCCTCTGATTGTGTGAGTTTGTTTGTTCGAGAATGATGAGTGTCCTGGCTCAGTGGCCGATATGTGTCCTTGACTTGAATAGCCGATGAGGGTGATATTTCTTCTTTCTGGTCGTTGGCGGTTGCTTTTTGTGTTTTGGCCGAGGAGGCCCCATAGTTGCTTTCGTACTTCAGGGCGAAGTGATGATGTTCGTAGTTTGGTGTCCATGTCTTTGAGGACGATATCGGCACTGATCCAGAAGAAGTTGTGCGTATTTTTGGTCTCGTGAACGATGATGGCATTTGGAACCGAGGACGTTGGGTCCCTGTTTTCTTATCTTGGCCGAGAGTGGAGTACGTGATCTCAAGGCCGTTGACTGGCACGCGTCAAGGGACGACACGCGTCGCGTTTTCGGGAGGTGAGCTATGCTTCCTTGTTTGCTTACTTCGTTGCGGCCGAGTGTGCACCACCAAGTCCTGGACGTTGTGGTGCATGGATGATATAGTGTTGTTGTCGTTTGTGGACTTGTGTGTTTTTTGGATTTTCAACTTTGTCCTTGTGTGCGTTTAGAGGCCGGTGTAGTCCTCCAGTCCTCCACTGCTTCAGGGCGAAGAGTGAGCGAGGAGTGAAGGAGTAAGGTGTAACCCTAGGCCGAAGTGGGATCCCCGTATTCCCCTGAATCCAAACCTTTGGCGAGTCCTGACCAAGGTAACCCTGTGGGAGAACCCTTGGACGCAGGTCGCTTTCAAGGAGTTAACATCAGGCTTTTATATGAGGCCGATGGCTGTTGGATTCTTTTTTGCTTTGCTTTGGTGGTCGTTGAAAGGGGCCTGATGTTGGTAGTGTGTTGTGCCGATATGGGCACACTTTGAAATGGGACCAGCCATTGAAACGATTATTGGCTGCTAGGGCCGATGTAGTCGTGTCCTGTGGAGGCAAACATCTCTCCTTAGTGTGGCCGTTGAGTGTCTTGGCCGTTATGGATGCTGCTTGCTGGTACGTTGGAAGTGGAGTGGTGCTGCTGGAAGTGGGCCTGGCCCATCTTCTGAACCGGTGGCAGCTTATTGGGCCTAGGGGGTGGTGGCCGTTCATGTGGCCACTGGGAGGGTGCCACGTGTAGTCACCGTTGGGGGGTCTATATTTACCCCCCCCTCCTCCCGAAGGAAGTCCCCCACTTGCAACCTGAGCTAACGAAGTGCTACCCAAATTTCTAGAGAGAGAGAGCTTGCTCAAGTGTTCTTCCGTTCTTCAAAATTTCAAAGGTCAGTTCATCAAACCTTTCTCCGCTTTCTTGCATGCTTTGCTTCCTTAGGCTTTGATCTAGTGTTAATAAAAAAACCACCCTTAGATGTAAAGTAGTTCTCCTTAGGGTTCTAGTAGTTGTTATGATGAAGCCTTTGAACGATGAGTACTACCCGTACGATGATGTCTCCGCCAAGTCCCTTGACTACGGGGTAGTTGAAGAGTTCTACGAGGAGATTGAGGATTTGAGCTCCTTCAAATCAGGGGAGCCAGAGGACGAGGAGAACCAGGACGAGGAGGCCACCTCGTCATATGAAGGTGAGGACGTAGGGGTCTCTCGTGCCGTGGAAGGAGCATCTACCTCGGCTACTATTCCTTGCCCAAAACTGGTGCCTGCAGTTAAGGGGACTGGCCCGCCGAAGAGGAGGCGTCGACCGAAGAAAGGTCTAGGCTTCTCTTACCTGGATCTCACCAAATGTCTACATCATCAGGCCGCAGAGCAACGCGGCTGAGCACCTGGTTGCCCAGATGTACGTGGGACTGTTTGGTAGGGTTAGGGCCCCTAAGCTGACGGGCCACGTACTTAATCCACCGTCGGGCTACTTTGGGATATACCCCATGAGTTTTGCCAAGGGGCTCAGGTTTCCCCTTCATCCGTTCATCACAGAGTATTTGGACATGGTGGAGCTTCCTCCGGCCCTGCTGACCCCGAACAGCTATTCGTTGATTGTTGGCTTTCTCCTCCACCGTGCCGAGTTGGATTTCAAGCCGACAACGGCTCTTTTCATGAACTTGTATCAAATAGGCAGTGGTAGCCACCAGAACTGTGCCGGCTATGCCAACCTGCAGCAGGTGAAGAATAGGAGGTCCTTCACTGATCTTCCGACGTCCATTCACGGGTGGAAGAGCAAGTTTGTCTTCATGTCCCTGGGCGAGGGAGGGACCGAGTTTCCTTCCGTCGGCCATAGCGGGAGATTCAACCTCTATGATGCGCCGAAGAGTTCAATCTTGGATGCTCAGGTGGCGATGTTCTTGAAAGGAGGGCCGAGGAGCGTGAAGGATTATATCACGGAGTATAAGATGACCGCTCTCGGCTTCGTGAGGTACTTCATGTATGGGGACAAGGAGGACGACGTAGATCTGTGGCTGAAGATGACCACGACATTTGATGAGCCCGACGGTCCGGATTTGGGTGTGCCTGCTGAAGCTGATGCTAATACCCTTTTATCGTCCTTGTCCCCGTCTTATTTCTTGCTTGCCTAATGTTTGTTTTCTTTGTTATGCAGACTTCGTGATGGACCGCAGATCGGTGATGAATAGGGCTAAGGCAAAAGCCCAAGCGGAGATGGCCGCTAAGGAGGCTGCCAAGCTGGCGGCGAAAGGTGGGGCACAGCTGAGCTCTGAACAGCCGTCGAAGCCGCCCACCCAGCCGAAGTAGAAACGGCAGGCCAACGATGGCCAGAAGAAGCTGATTGAGGCCGGTATACAGCCTTCCACGAAGTCAGAGAGGGCTTCTCCCTTGGCCGATGCTAATGTCAGGGATGTGACCGTGCCGGGCGGAGACGCTGGAGGCTCCAGTGCTGCCGTCGTAGTTGACCTGGTATCTGCTCCTTCATCGATCTACTACTGTCTCCCAGCCTCCCCCTATTGTCCAGGACTCCCGGAAGAAGAGAGCCGGGAAGGAGTTGGTCACGGGGACCTACAAGTTGGAGGTTGAGTACCCCGTGAAGGGAGGCGTCTTCAACGAGGTTGTTGACGGCCACGACGTGATCTCACAAGCCGTCCCAGCCGAGGACCGGGCCTACCTTGACAAGCTTGGCAACGTCAGGATCTATGACGGTGGAATGGACCTCATCGTCCAAGTAAGCTCCTTTGCATACTATGTTATTTTCATGTCTTTCTTGTTATCGTAGATGTCGTTATCGTCCTAACCATTTCATTTTTGCAGGGTGCCTTCATGCTGATGGAGAGCCACAAGAGGCAACAGCAAGAGATTGCTCGGCTGAAAGTAGTTGAGCAGAAGGCTAAGGCAAGCTGGCGGCGACAGGTGGGGCACAGACGAGCGCTGAACAGCCGTCGAAGCCGCCCACCCAGCCGAAGAAGAAATGACAGGCCGACGATGGTCAGAAAAAGCTGACTGAGGCCGGTATGCAGCCTGCCAAGAAGTCAAAGAGGGCTTCTCCCTTGGCCGATGCTGATGCCAGGGCTGTGACCATGCCGGCCGGAGACGCTGGAGGCTCCAGTGCCGTCGCCGTAGTGGACCTGGTATCCGCTCCTTCATCTACTATTGTCTCCCAGCCTCCCCCTATCGTCCAGGACTCCCGGAAGAAGAGGGTCGGGAAGGAGTTGGTCACGGGGACCTACAAGTTGGAGGTTGAGTACCCCATGAAGGGAGGCGTCTTCAACGAGGTTGTTGACGGCCACGACGTGATCTCACAAGCCGTCCCAGCCGAGGACCGGGCCTACCTTGACAAGCTTGGCAACATCAGGATCTATGACGGTGGAATGGACCTCATCGTCCAAGTAAGCTCCTTTGCATACTCTGTTATTTTCATGTCTTTCTTGTTATCGTAGATGTCGTCATCGTCCTAACCATTTCGTTTTTGCAGGGTGCCTTCATGCTGATGGAGAGCCACAAGCACAAGTAGATAATCATTTCCCTTTGTCGTGGCCGATGAGGCCGCTCGCCCTTGTTCGGCCGAGGGGAGTTTTCCCCCTTCGACCAAGGGAAATAGGTGGTTTGTTTCCCTTTCATGCCTTAGAATCTTTTATGTCATCTTCCTTAGGACTCTTGTTGGCCGCTCGGGATGCCACTCATCTTTATGTGCCTTGGAATTTTTGCCAGATGTTTTTTAGGGTAGCTTGTGTTTGAATGCTTCGTCCATATTGCATATCCTTTTTCCTCGTGGTTAACTGATATGTACTTAGTCAATTTTTGGGGATTTCATTTTTATTGCTCGAGGCCGGCAGGTGCACGGTCCATCGGCTTCCCTCTTTTTATTTTTGGGGATTTTGCTTGAGGCCGGCGAGTGTGTGGTCCTTCGGCTGTCCCTCTTTTATTTTTGGGGATTTTGCTCGAGGTTGGCGAGTGCGCGGTCCTTCGGTTGTCCCTCTTTTATTTTTGGGGATTTCGCTCGAGTGCGCAGAGCCAATCAAATATTTCCATTCAAATGTTCCAAGTACAAAAGAAGGGCACAACGGTCTTTACATATACAGGCACTACGACCATTACATATCAACAAAAAAGAAAGAGGAGGGATCAGGCTTCTCCCGCACCGGCATCTGGAACGGGCGTACTTACGGCATCATCGGCCTGGGAAGAAGCAGAGTCCAGGAACACCTAATCATCATCCCAATCCTCCTCGCCGATGCTGGAGCTAAGGATGGGGGCTTGCCTCTCCTCCGCCGGAAGCTTGGCCTCCTCCTCCGGATCCTTCATCTTCGGAGGCAGCTTGAGCTTGTGAGCAAATTTCTTGCTCAGCTTCAACGAGGTTATAAACCTGCAATAAGATACGAAGTACATCCTATTACACAGCCTTTATACAAAGTCTCTAACATTTTTCAGGGACAAAAAGATTAACCTTTCATGGTACAAAATCCCAAAATCTTTGGCACCATATGGAGCTAGAGCAAAGCAATAAAATCTTATTGCTTAAAAATGATGAATGGGAGCAATACAATGCAACAAAAAAACATGATACAACAAAAATCAACAAAAAGAAACAAAATGCAACAAAAAACAAAATAATGTAACACGAAAAGGAATCAACAAAAAGAAACAAAATGCAACAAAAAGAAAACAAATTGCAACAAAAAGAAACAAAATGCAACAAAAAGAAACATAATATAACACAAAAAGGGAAAACAACATTAAAATAACATAAAGTATACAATAGTATCCAATGAATACATATTTAATGGTCAGAGTTGTACCTTTCTTAAATAAAATGTTCTCTCATATAAAATTATAAAGTGATTGTTTTCCGCATTCATGTTCTAAAAATTACAAATTGCTCACTCAAAAAATTCAAGTAAAAATAGCAGCCATTGGTTGCAAACTACTTTCGCAGCAGCTGATTTTTAGATCTAATTAAAAACTATATCCAACATCATTGATAAGTGATTGTTGATGCTAGCAGTCTACCTCACATCATAATTGGTTTTGATCCATAATTCAGCTCGACCTGTTCAAAACATTTTTAAAATCAATGCTAGTTAGTTATAGACTTATAACTTATAATTTGAGAAGACTCTGAACAGTTGGTGAGGTGATAATGAAATTGTTGAGAGGTAGTATAAAGATACAAATCAAGATTCAAATCAGGTTAAGAATATTCTGATCAGATCAAATTAGACTCATCATTTTCATTTACCCCAGTGCCGCAAAGGCTCCCACCTACGGTGGGGTAAGGGGGGGTCGGATGTACGCAATCTTACCCCTGTACTAAAGCACAGAGAGACTGTTTCCGGTCAGATCAAATTAGACTAAATTAAAAAAATCAGATCAGATCAAACTAAATCTGAAAAAATTATGATCAAATCAACAAAACAACTTCTAAAGAGGAGGATGCACAGAAGTCTAAAAGTCGATCTAATAATAAGCTTTAAGAGGCTATGCAAATCTTAACTTTCGAAATATGTAATAAACATCTCTTTCAACTTCATCAACCGTATCATGTTGCATATAGGAAAAGTTCATCTCAAATTATTTAGTTTCGCAGAATTAAAGGAGTACTCCTCTAATTGAGAGATCTCTGAGCCTATTTTAGTGAGCGCACGGCAGGATTGAGATCAAACAGATCGGTAGAATATGTTGAAACTATGAGATACCTGAAGCAGTCAGTGCCGCGTGTGGTTAAGGTGGAGCCGAAACCAAACGAAGATCTTCGCATTGTGGGAGGCTGGAGATGAAGGGAGACGGAAGAATGTGTGGAGGAGAAGCATAGACAGTGAGAGACGGCCGAACTCAAAATCGAAGTTTGAATTTTGGATTTGACTTGGTTTATACGGAGTTCTGTTTTTTAAAATAAAAAAATAAAAGTGAAAAGGTAAAAGTTAAAAATGAAAATTATTTTAAAGGTGGACACAAATGAAATGGGGAGAATTATACAAATAAGACTAAAACATGTCAATTTTCCAAAATTAGGACTGCATTCTGGCGTAGGACACAACTGCACATATTTTGACTATTATACCCTTACTTTATAATCAATTGCTCAACCCAGGAAGAATTTACAGCGATGACTCTTCTTCGGAGCGGACTTGGCGGAGAGCATCAACAAGCTTCCAAATCCTACGAGCTTCCAAATCGATCGCTCCATCTGGTCTTTCCCTTGGCGGCGGCGACAGTCCATAAGAAGTCTCCCGAATAGTATAGTTGTCAACCACGGTAGATGTAGTCTTATTTCTTCGACGGACTTGACAGAGAACATCCACAAGCTTCGTCGAGTAGATTTGTTGGGCAGCCTTCACTCTACGACCTGAGTCCATCCACACATGTAGACGGCGTCTGATCCCGGTCTGAATCACCGGTTTTTCTCCGCTTCTTCTGTGATAGGTTTGAGTTGACATTAGGATTTGTGATCGAAGATGATAATTCCATTGTATCAATCAGCGAAGTCCATGAGTTTCTGAAACAAAACACTCCTCTATCTTTGTGGTATTACAGACCGGAACTTGGAAGCGGGAATTTAGAGATTCAATAGCAACCGAAAATTGAAGTGCATGAGTAGACAATAATTAGTCCGTAATGGCATATGCACAAACATTAAATTCCTCCACATTAAACTCCTACAACTAAAGTAAGTATAAAACTTAAAAAAAAGTTACTGATGTGTGCATCAAGATGGAAGTAGTTAGACTACGATGCTTTGTAATTATTATGATTAGGATCTTGGGAAAGAAAAGAACATGTAAATTTCCTTCTTTTGATCATTAAGCATTGTTCCTAAATATTGGTGACAATCGGTTTGACTATGTGTAATCTTGTTTTTAGTGACATATAAAATGCTTGATCACTATTATTTAATGTTAAGTTGATTTATAATGCTGGTTGAATTATGGAATATTGTCCATAAGTAGACAATAACAAGTCCTTAATGTCTGAGGCGCATACATTAAATTCCTACCGTTAATATAAGTACAAGCTTTAGCACAAAATTATGAACCAACTATGAAACTTGATAGATTCAACTCTTGAAATGAGATTTGGAAATATTTCTCATGCATAGGTACAATACAAATCACATGAATATGAACATAAAGGTCGATCTATACATTGCTTTTGAAGACAAAATACATGTATGAGTACAATCAGAGTGTTGATGTGTTCGATCAGTACTTCAGCAGCCTTATGTATTCAATTAGCAGGTGTGTGAGGCATGTTGTTTGATGGTACCTAGTAGGAGTAGAATATCATCGTACCCATTTCTCAACACCTATCTTATACAAATTTTGAGTCTACCAGTAAGATTTCTTGTTGTGACCACCAAGAACCACTACAAAAAATCACACATTTTATGACAAAAATTTGTGTGACACACAAAAAATCGTCATATTATATGATCTATAGTTACAAAACTCAAATTTGTCACACTAAAGTAATTTGTTATGACAATGTTATTTTTTGTCACTATAATTCTTATACTTTGTCACTAATTGATGTTTACTATGACAATAAGATCTAATCCGTCACTTTAAGTTTGAGCGCCGAACTTTGACGCCAAAAATCCGGATGGAAGTTTTTTTATGACACTTTTTAAACAATTAATGACGATAATTTGTGTCACGTAATTTTTAATTATTATGACATAATCATATTGTGTCACTAAATGTATTGTAAAATAATGACAATACTATTTTGTCATTGATGTTACTTTTTGATGACGATAAATGTAAATGTGTTATAGTTTAGCTTTTAACAAAATATTTTGAAACAAAAGTAAGTGAAAAATTTATAGATGAAAACTTAATCTTAATGCATAATGGCACTGTGATCTCACATTATTTATCATTTTATTTATAATTACAGAATTAAAATCAATTATTTTGTAAAATAATGACAATTTCTCATTAAAGCTCGCTTTTCCTGCTAAATATGGCTAATAAGTAATAATTTGACATTTTAATAAAAATAATGTCACAAAATTTTAAACAAAAATGCAATAATATTAATATTATCATCATTATTACTACTATTATTATTTAGTACACACAATTCGTGACCAACGTGGAATATGATCGCAACATATAAAAACGATGTACTCCTTCCGGGTTAAAAAAAATAAAAAATAAAAAATAAAAAAAAGGATAAAAAGCATGTATTTATTATTAATATAACAAAATAAGAAAATATTTTGTTTTTTGAAAGTAGAAAATATTTTGTTATTCTTGCGAAAAAACATTTTCTTATTGGCGCCGCCCCAAAAATTTCTCGCGCCCACTAACTTTCACAATTTTAAAATTTCCCTTTTACCTCATATCCCTCAGAATCGGAAACTCTCGCCGCTGCTCCAAATTAACTTCTCCCGTCGCGCCAAGCCGCTAACCCTCCTTCCACGGCTCCACCGCACCATCCATCGCAGCACCACCACACCGTCACTCTCAGCCCTAATCGTGCGAGCAATTGGGTGAGTCTTTACTGGCTCACAGGTCTGACTAAATCGCTCACAGCAGGTCGGAACGACGATTTGAATATACTGACTGCGACGGCAAAACTGGATGACGTGTCTGACCTTCTGCACGGAGCTCTATATCTCCCACTCTGAAATGGATGAATGAGTACGGACACATCTACCGCCTCACAGTTGGCCCTAGAAACTTTGTGGTTGTTAGTAATCCATCCATTGCGAAACATGTCTTGAGAAATTACAGGAAGTATGCGAAGGGGCTTGTTGCCGAGGTGTCTCAATTCTTGTCTGGGTCTGGCTTTGCCATCGCTGAAGGTCCCATTTGGACGGTAAGCACTCCTTTACGATGTGTGGCGTCACATGTAGGTTCTATTTTAGATAATGTAGATCGAGTTTTGTAGAATTCTACTTGAGTTTACTATATCAAAGTTGAATTTGTTGAGAGATAAATCATGTTAGCTTTTTGCATAAAAGAGTTTGGTGCTCTTAAATTTTTCATTGCACAACTTTTCAAACCTTAATACAAATATGATTTTCGAGTTTATTCAAACAAACATCTCGGCCTGATTAAGACCCAAATTAGCACTTGAAGTTCAAGAGTGGAGATGCATTTAAGACTCAAATGAGGATACAATGTTCCAGCTATGTGTGCTTTACCACCATCTTCAGAAATCTCAGAAGCTTTTGATCTGAATTATACGTATTATTATTTACTTTCTTGTAAATGGATGTTGTGCTCAAGCATTATGTTTGTTATAGGCAAGACGAAGGGCTGTGGTTCCATCACTCCACAAGAAATATTTGTCAGTAATGATTGAGAGGCTGTTCTGCAGATGCGCTGAAAGATTGGTGGAGAAATTCATACCTTATGCTCCCAATGACTCTCCAGTAAACATGGATGAGAAGTTTTCTCAAAACCAACCCTTGTTGTAATTGAGCTGTCATTTTTTAATTTCAGTTTTGATTCCCCTAAAACTAATAGTCCACTGTCCACTGACCGGTGTGGTTTACACTGCTTTGAAGGAAGCAGAGTTGAGATGAACTCATCTCTTACCATATTGGAAGGTAAGTCATTGTGGTTACTATATCTGTCTTTGTTGATGACAATTTATCCACTTAGAGAGTGGTTTGCACTTATTTCTACCTGTAAGAAGTGATTTATTTTAGAGAATTTATGAATAGTGATTACTAGTGATAGTTGGAAGTGTTTGAAAAGAAAAATCTTTTTAAAAAGTAAACGTTAGAGTGCATGCTCAAAAAGCACTTTTTTTTTTGTGAAAAAATCTGATAATCAGTTTTAAGCTTTCCTCCTACTTTCAGCTTTCAGTTTTAAAATGCTTAAATTTAAGCAAAGGGACGTACCAGAAAACATTCCTCCTATCTCTGCGTTGACCTTGTTCTGTAATTTGCAGGCAGATACAGTGAGGATGATGGAGCCAAAAGTTGGAAAATAGTTAGTGATCAGCGTCTGGTAAGTAACTAGATTTAGTTAGAGGTTTCCTAAAAATATCTATTGTTACAATGAATTGTGTGTTCAAATTTCACTAAATTGTACAGAGTAACATTTTAGCTAAACCAACTAAGTTCATTATAGATAATCCCTACCAGTAATATTTGTAAGCTGCTTCACTTCTAAACCAACTAACTTTTGATAAGTTCAACTCACTCTGATTACCCTCTTCCATGTCAGAGTTGCTAAAGTGTACCATATATTTGATTGATTATTGCAGTATTGAGAGCTCTCACAGAAATCGTGGTTCTGATTTTAGAAGCGATGATGGCAGTTACCCAAGTCCAATAAACTTGGTGTAAGAATTTATTTATACTATTGTATTGTATCAACTTATCAGCGGCTTTAGAGTATCTGTAATTCCTTGAGAATAGGAGAAACTTTAATAATCAATTGAATAAAACATTTTGATTTATATGTATACATTGTTCAGCACTTAAGTGGCTCATCATTGTTTCTTGTTGGTAAATTTCAGAAAGAGGCCTTATTAGAAGATGAAAGAAGATACATGTGACACTGTTTTAATTACTCTAAAAGTGACAACATTGAAACTTGAAAGAGTTGCTAATTTTCAAATCGAATGAGAGCGGTGAAACGGTGGGAGATGATTGACAACAGTTAATTCTCTATTATCTTTGCTGATTCCGTGGCTGATACCAAGAAGTTTGCTTCCACTCTAAAACAAGTGCTTGTAATGGACCCGTCTTGTTTCAATTATGTGCACTATTTTCATGCACAATGTCATATATGAAGATTTGGTGATGGAGTACACATTGCATTGCATTTTTGGTTTGTAATGTTTGGTAACTTGTATATGACATTGTGTGTTTTCTAGCAATACACTTTCAAATTGGAATGTAAATGTTCTCTATTGTGTTATAACATCTTTTATTATGTCATAAGACATATGTGACTAATTTTCTCACTGAATATAGTAATAAGTTATTTACATTAATGATATAAACATTTTATGTGTTATGATCATGACACTTTGTGTTGTCATTTTAAATATATTGCTTAAAGTGACGAAGATGTTTTTGTAACTAAAGTAAACTGATGAACTATTGTAAATATGACAAATCATGTAATTCTAACACTGCCGTCATTACAACTCAACAATTCTGGAAGTATAATGTTAATTGTCACTAAAAGCTATGTTTTGTTGACAAAATAAAGCTTTGTCACTTATTATGTTAAGCATAGATGACGAAATTTTTACTTGAGTGACAAAAATAATGATGTAAAAATGAAAAATTTGATGTCACTAAAAGTAATAAAAATGGCCACAAAGAGTAAAATCGTCATCAAAAGTTAATTATACAATGACAAATCCAAAAATCGTCATATATACCTTTTGCCACGGAGCTACAATGACGATAACTGTGACGATTATAATTTGTCACATAAAAGTTTTAGTGACAAAATTTGAAATTTATATGACAAATTTGTTTGTCATATTTTGTCAAAATTCTTGTAGTGAACAACACCGATGAAATGCAAATTCACCAAGAACTACGAATTGAGATAGGATTCCTGCAAGACTCTTATTGTGTCCACTTTTCTTGCACCATGAATAACATTGCCGGTAACCAAACTCTTCAGTTGAACTTCAACAAATAAGTATGAATTGAGGGATCTTGTGGCAGACTTGACTGCCTAGTTGAACTTCAATGGCAAACTAGTAGTAGATCCTCTAAACTTTGTCCTAATATTGTCTAAAGTGTGTTGAAAATAGTACCCATGTTCAGCGTGCAACTGGAGAAACTGTTTTTGCTACATGAATAATTCCTGCATGCCGATCTGTGATAAAAAATAAACAAATTATTTCTATGAGCAAGAGTCCTCTTTAGCTTGTTTAGTGTCACACCATAATCTCTATTCATGTCAACCACTATATTATTCTAAGCATAAGATTTTCTAGATGCATCTCCATATTGACACTTTATAAATTCTGCAGTAATTTCAGTTGTGGATTGTTGATGATGACATTGTCTAAATTCATTAGAATATGAATGTTCAGAATCAAACCTTAAAACAAGAACACAAAATATCATATAAGTATAGACATTAAGTAGTTCTTCTTTAAACAAATACGAAATACATTAAACTAAAACAAAAGGAAGTATATAAAATGCAGAATGAACATAAGATGTCACATGTAAAATCAAAACATGTACCTTCTAATCTGGAACATATGACTTCCAAAAAGAATCACTCCATGAGCAGTCTAGTTACATTCATCATTAACACAAACAAAATGCGACAATATGAGTATGATGGAAGTTAGAAAGAACTTCAAAGCTACAAAGAATTGAAATGGGAGTCTGAATCAAAACCAGGAGCTTAATTGTGGATATGAAGAAGACAAAGCTAAAAAGTGTGGATATGAATCATTAAGTTGTGTTTTGAATAGTCAATGGAAGAGGAATGTATGTCTTTTAAATTTATCGAATCTTTCTTTGGTGCACAAGTGAATTCATGGCAGCAACATTGAGATCAATTATATTAGAATAAACGTGGCGACATGTCTTTTGATTAATAAGTCATTGATGGAGAATTGGCACAGATTGAAATCAATTGCAGAAAATTCTGCTACAGCTATTTGGAGGTATGATTATTGATGCAAGCAAGTACAGTAAACAACTCAACCAACGAAGTAAACATAGCATAGTCAGGGACCTCAGGGTGAACCCTTTTCAGAACCAAAGTACAATTCCAAGCTACAAGGATCACAGACAACCATAGGAGGTGCACATGCATATATGAAACTTAATTTTTAGTATCCGTGTGGTTCTGTAACAGACCGACCCAATTTTTTGGGCGGTTGCACTGGTTTCTGATTGAGGACTTTTGTCGAGCACTTAATTTGCATAAGTTGAACCCTCCATTTCAGAAAGTTCTTGGACTACAACTGGTTGTATCTAGTTCACCGTAAGACAATCAAAGAATTATATGAAGTAGAAAAAACAGAGATCGATGTTGGAAACTAAAAAACAGAGAAGAAAAATACACTGAACTGCAATTTCAAGGTTAGAATGAGAATTCAAACTTGAAATTGAAAGAACTTATACAAAATATATAAACGAAATTCGTTTATACAAGAAATCATCAAACAATAACAAATTTGTAAGACAAATGAGTAATAAAACTTACTAAAAAGTGCAGAAATTTTGCACAGCGTATGAAACTCGATGAACAACTGAATGCCGCTTTAAAACAATTCGTGAACCATACGAGCATGATCGAAACTGGAGAAGTGAACACGAATGAATGAAAGGACGATGATCTTGAGCTCGGTTGATTACGCAGACGAAGAGCGAAAGAAGAAGAAAAGGTCGCTGCGGATGAGACCAGCCGTTACCCAAGTCATTCGTCTTGATACGTAGCCTAAAGTGGAGGGCAAAAATGGAAACTAAAAATTAAGTTTCCTAAAACAGAATTAAATAAAACATACGGATGGAAAAAACCTAACTAAGTTCTAATCTTGTAAAGTCCTAACTTATCTAATCTGATTTCTTTGTATTTTTATAATTATCCAAGTTGATCCGGTCTGAACTGGTCTGGTCTGAACTGTTATGGTCCTGGAAAGAGCTGTGTCCGGAAATTTCCACAATACAATACACCCCCCGAAGCCACGAAGGACGGAAGGAGGACGACGTCTAACGACCACCGCCGCCACCCAGCACCAGTCCGCCACTGGCCCACCGTGCCCCACCTCGAAGAGTCGAGTTAGTCGAAGACCGCAACTGCGCACTGCACGGTAACGGTAAGCATCTCAGGCTCAGCAGTCAGCACATATATGATTTTCAGATTTTCTGATTTGTTTAATTGTTTATTGAAGTATTATCTGATAAATAATTTCTTATAAACAATAATTAAATCTTTATTTTCAGATTATTTGCTTTCATGTTATTTATCTGATAAATAATTTCTTATTTCATCTTCAATCAATTTTGCAGATATCTGCTTCAAACATGAATTGAACCGCAAACCAATTTGATACACAATAATTAAATCTTGATTTCATGGGAGAAATTGATTTCCACTTGCACTATTGTTAACCATTTGAAAATTTTGGTTATTATTATTTGTTAAATATTGGTTCATGGATGTTTATTGCACGATTTGATCTCTGTTCTTTAAATATTAAATTCTAATCCTACTGCTAAAAAATCACGGCTTCAAATCTTGTCTAATTATTCATTGAAGTTATTGATCACTAATTGGTTTCAGGTTCATCAGAACACACTTCAAATTCTTCAAGAAATTGCATTATAATCCATTTGACTGCATCAAGCTGTGAAGAGTTGATTTTCATGCAGTGGTGGCATTGGCAAATCTACAGTTAGGTGTAAATATTTGTCTGTGTGTATACTCAGTTACTCACACATGCTCAAAGTATACATACATTCGGGACTTAGAAAAAAAAGGCCCAAATTTTGTTGTTGCACAGGGTCTCTATTTTCTCAAGACCGGCCCTGCCGCCCGACCAATAATAGTAACCTTCACTCGTCCCGCACGGGCTCTCTTCATTTTTCTTCAAAACCCGATGTTTCTGAACCGATTAAGCTTCAAAGCAATCAAGAAGACAGTAAAAACTCTCAATCGCACTTGGTCTATAAGGTCTGTGAAATTTTATCAAATCGGCAGATTCAGTGGAAACAGAGCGCGGAGCTGAACTCTTTGAGCCCAAAGCTAAGACCCCACCACCTTGCAAGGGTCATTGAAATCCATAACGACACTGACATAGCTGTGCAGTTCTTCTATTGGGTTTCTAAGAGGCATTTTTACAAACACGATATCACCTGTTATGTGTCGATGCTAAATAGGCTACTGCGGGAGAAGAAATTTGAACCAGCTGACCATGTCAAGATATTGATGATAAAGGACTGCAGAAACATGGAAGAAATGAATAGGGTCGTTGAGTATTTGAGCGAGATAAGGAAAAATGGTCTAGGACACAGTCTGTATAGTTATAATACTCTGTTGATTCAGTTAGGCAAATTTGACATGTTTGTGTCTGCTCAAAGATTTTATAGGGAAATGCTAAACAATGGCATCCAACCAAATTTGCTAACATTCAACACAATGATAAATATACTGTGTAAGCAAGGGAAGGTGAAGGAGGCTTATTTGATTTTGAGTCAAGTGTACGGGTATGGGATGCTTCCAGATGTCTTCACATACACATCCCTCATGCTTGGGCACTGCAGAAACATGAACATAGATTCAGCCTTTCTGGTTTTTCAACAGATGCTAAATGAGAATATTCATCCAAATGCAGTAACTTACTCAACTCTCATAAATGGGCTGTGCAGCCATGAGAGAGTTGATGAAGCTTTAAATATGCTGAAGGAGATGACTGAGAAAGGGATTGAGCCGACTGTGTATACTTACACACTCCCAATCACTTCACTGTGTAGGACTGGACGTGTTGATAAGGCTATCGATCTTGTGATGATCATGAGAAAGAGAGGCTGCAAACCGAACGTTCAAACATACACTGCCCTCATGAGTGGGATTTCTTGTTCTGGCCGTCTTAAGTTGGTGATTGGTTTGTTCAACAAGATGTTCAGAGAGGGCGTGATTCCAACCATAGTAACATGCAACGTGCTGATCAATGAATTGTGTGGTGGGAGATTCATAGATAGGGCCCGTAGTTTTCTTCAATGGATGAAGGCTCACGGTTATCCACCAAACTCTGAAACCTACAATACCCTCATTCACGGGTTTTGCTCAATGGGAAACATAGAGTGGGGAATGATTCTTTTGAATGAAATGCTAAAGTCAGGCCCCACACCGACAGTCATCACGTACAATACACTCATCAAAGGGTACCTTGAAGGTGGTCTATTGGAGAACACTGTTAGACTGTTGCACTTGATGAAGAGTTGTGGACTTAAACCAGATGAGTGGACTTACGCAGAACTTGTCTTTGGTTTCTGCAAAAGAGGGAAGCTCGATTCAGCCATAGCTTTCTTTGAAGAAATGATCACACAAGGTTTGTGTCCAAACAAGATAAATTACACGACATTAATATATGGTCTTGCTACAGCAGAAAAAGTGGACGATGCAATTTCTTTATTTAAACGAATGGAGAAAGAGGGTTGCAGTCCGGGAATTGAGACTTATAATGCCATTATAAATGGTTTATCAAAATCTAACCGACTTCCTGAAGCAGAGATAATGTGCAATAAATTAGCTGAGAGTGGTTTGGTCCCTAGTGTCATCACTTACACAACATTGATTGATGGGCTGTGTAAGAACGGCGATACACTAAATGCATTTAAGATATTCAGAGAAATGGAAAACGGGAATTGCCCGCCGGACTTGTTTACTTATAGTTCGCTCATCCACGGTTTATGCCTCAAAGGGCAGGCATATGAAGCAGAGATTCTACTCAAAGAAATGGAGATGAAGGGATTGGTTCCTGATCATGTAACTTATACCTCTTTAATTGATGGATTTGTAGCTTTGGGTGGGTTAGATCATGCGTTCTTACTTTTCTCCAAGATGATTCATAGTGGGTGCCAACCAAATTATAGAACCTATAATGTGCTTTTGAAGGGTTTGCAGAATGGAAAGGATTGTTATAGTTTTGATGTTTTGTGTAGTTTATTGGACAGAATGTCAGAAAACAGATGTGGGCCCAGTTTAGATACATACTCTACCCTAGTGGTTGGGCTTTGTAAAGAATGTAAAGTTGATGAGGCTGAGAAGTTGGTTACGCATATGAAGGGAAAAGGTTTATGTCCAGATGATGCAATGGAAAGCTCACTTTTGTGTGCCTATTGCAAGGGATTGGATGTGAGGCCTGCTCTTGAAAATTTCCGCTCTCTGACTTCGAAAGGTGTTATACTTTCCTTAAATATTTACCGGCTACTCATTTCAGCTCTCTGTAAAGCAAAGTGGCTGAAAGAAGCAGAGGATGTGTTTATGAGCATTCTTGAGCAAAAAAGGAACTGTGATGAGATTGTTTGGACCGTATTGGTCGATGGTTTGCTGAAGGAAGGGGAATCAGAAATGTGTATGAAGCTTCTACACATCATGGAATCCAAGAATTACTCTCTTAATGTGCAGACATATCTTATACTGGGAAGAGAGTTATCCCAAACAGATACATGTATTGATACTCAGGAAATTGGTAATAAGTTGAGATTTATGAAGACATGAGAAATAAGTACAAGTATATTTCTTGAATCTCAAGGATCTGAAACATGGTGGAGATTTTCTGTCGGGGATGCATTAATTTTTTCCCTCTACTGCATCTTCGAGAGACGATTCCTATGTCTGATTTCTCATCTCAGATGGTACTGACAGTTCTTTTATATTGATTATAGATTTCTTTTTTTCAGCGTATAGTCCAAAGTTTAATCACATAAGTTTACACAGTTATCCTATAATATTACTTAAAACAGAATTCATGAACAAAATGTGACTACATGGTTACTATAGTCACTACAAAAGTACAACATAATCATTGCTTTGTAAAGTTGAGCATAACCATGGTTACTACTATAAAAATACCACTTTGTGTAAGTAGTTAAAAACACTACGGTCACTACATGTTAACAGACACTTCAGTCCATTATTTTTATTCTAGTCATATATTTGTCATTATTTTCTTAAGTTTACCTCATGTTGCAGAACACACGTAAGACAGAATTGTGGTGGCAGATTGCCGCCTGAACCCTGGGTGGAACAGTCGAACATTTTCAGGTAAAAAGGTTCACAAGTCAGCATCTTGACTTTACTACATTGCAATATAGTGTTGTAACAGAGACTAGGGATATTTTTGACCCCTGAAAATGTTAGAGAAATACAGGAAAGAAGAGCTTGAGGAAGTTATATTCTTGTCTTCAGTTTTACCTCTTAAAATGCAAAGGAAGATGGAATGATTAATGTTTTTAATATTTTTCAAATGCTTAGTTTTTAGACTAATTAATAGAAATAAATAAATAAAGTGTGTTTGAATAAATATAAAAATAATGCTTCCCTCGTGTTCTTTCTTCTATATTTTTCCCAACATTTTCCATTCTTGTGTTCTTTTCATGAGAACTACTACCTTCTAGTTCCCAGCATTTTCCTAGTTCCAATAATATTTTCCATAATGTCATGGAAATACTACCTTCTATAGAAAAAGATACAATAGTATATGTAAACCTTATAGAAATCATCACAGAACGTATTGTAAATGGAAAACTTACCCTTTTTCCTATTTGTTCCTTTGAAGGATCGTTCAATACATACAGATCTGGTTGTGATATGTCCATAACTTTTTTTTTCCATTGATGATAAACATGAAACACCGAGGTATTGAATTTAGGAGAAGAAACACAGGCTTTAGTGTGTCACAAATAGGTAATGTATTCATTTCATTTTTCTTCCCTGTTCTTTGAATGAAAACTGAAGATATAAGCTGAAGTGAAGGAGTAATAGGTTTCCGTGCAAAATGTAAATTCTTGGCACGCATTAGTTCTGTGTTTCAGGGTTTAACAAGCCTGAAGGAAGGCTTCATAGGAATGCATAAGAATTAGGCGAGTTTTTTTGGGAGCGTGATAATCATCATTGATTTTGTTTTCCACAAAAGAGATGTAAACATCATCATTGAATTATGCAAAAGCATTATATGTTTAATCATAATTCGTGAAAGAGGGGTTTCATAAAGATCTTGTACAGTACTGACCATGAATTTGTATTTTTTTGGGGTGTCAGTGTGAAAAGTTGATGGGGGTGATTGGTGTTCCCAGTTCCCACCATATTCAATGGCAAAAAAGCTTTCGATGTAATTTTTTCCGCAGTACTTCATTGTATGTTGTAATACAGGAGTAATGCTGTTAAATCTTCCTATTTAGCAACAAAATATTGACCAAACACAAGAACAACGAAATAAACCAATCTCCTATCAAGAACGTGTGCTATGCCTTTGTTAGTATTTCATTTTACTCTGGAATATGTTATTGGAGGATCGCTTTGTTCTCCGAGAAAGTGCGCCATGAGCCGGTTTGGTAACTATGAAATTGGTTGAATCTAGTGAAATGACTTAAGTTATGGCTGAAACAATTGAACTGATGCTGAATTGTGGTGGCAGATTGCTGCCTGAACCCTGGGCGGAACAGTCTAACATTTTCAGGTAAAAAGGTTCACAAGTCGGGTCGGCATCTTGACTTTACTACATTGCAATATAGTGTTGTAACAGAGACTAGGGATATTTTTGACCCCTGAAAATGTTAGATAAATACAGGAAAGAAGAGCTGATATTAGTGCAAGAGTCCTTGATATGAAAAAGTTATTAGCGTAAAAGTTATTTTTCTAATATAGTTGTGTGCTAATACTTTTGAGATCATTCTTTTCCTATACTTGTAATAAAGACATGTTTAAGTTCATGTGGTTGTGATTGTAATTTCAATCTATTCCAAAGTGACCATTGTTGATTTATATTAGTAGTATGTTCACAATCCAAATGTTTATGAAATACAAATCCAGGATATGACTTATGAGTGACAACTATTGAGTTTGAGGCACTTTGGCCAGCAGCACACCAAGGAGGCAAGGACTAAACAGAACCAGCTGTCAAGCACCACAAATTATAGTGTTTTTTTTTCGAATTAATGTTAATTAATTAATTAATTAATTACGAAAATAATGTTGGTAAAAAAATATTTACCGATCTACTGCTGGGTTTAACCATGGTTAGGGAAAGTCGCTCAACGGTTGGGCGACTTATAAGTCGCCAAACGGTTTGGTGACTTATAAGTCGCTCAACCGTTGGGTGACTTTCTCCTTCCATATGAACGCAGACCAACAGCTACTGCTAGCCACACACGATCGTGCCTGCACGGGTAGACACGATCGTGCCTAATTCCGAAAACAGAATTTCATCAATTTTTTTGCCCAATTTCAACCTAGACTCATCTTTTTGCTATAAATAAGGTCTCCCTTCTTTTGTTTAAGTGTTACGAGCGAGATGCAACACATTATAAAACATACAACACACATGTTCACAAACACATACATAAACACATACAACTCACCGGTAAAACACAATACAATAATCAAACATTCATAACAATTAATCATCTAATATTCATACTCGAACACATAAATACAACATACAAGAGAAAATACGTAAAATGTTGTAAATTGTTCCTACAACATCTAAAATGTTGTAAATTATCTAACATGTTGTACAAGAAAAACTGCAATACAAAAGACAAAGTAGAAGTTGTCATGGTCATCTTGATCACTCGACCTAGGATCCGCTGGCACTTGCATGCCTACAAACAAACAAAATCGTATTAGTTAATTTTTACTATTATACTAATTCTTTTTTTTAATCATCCATTTTATTAATTAATATGTTTTCATGCAAAGCTGAGATGAACTGTGAATTACTATAATTAACACCTTACCCACTGGACCCTCCATCGTGTCTTGATGATCTCTTCGCACATGTGGCCCTATTATGGCCGGTTTGGTGGCATTTTCCACATCTAACCGTTCCTCGGGGACCTTCATCCATCTCATTCTTAATACGTGTCGACTTAGGTCTTCCCTTAGCCCGAAGCATGGATGGATCGTGCACGATTTCAGGTCCATTGTAAGTAGGCCAATAATCACGATCAGGAATGGGTTTGAAGACTCTATGATATGTGGTCGCGTATTGGTCAGATGAGAAAAACTTATCTACAAATGGAGCATAAGATAAGCTACGTTGTCTGCACACGGCTAACACATGGGAGCATGGAATCTTATATATCTCCATCTTTTTACAAGTGCAAGTTTTCTGTTTCAGATGGATAGTTTGTTTTCTCCCACCCTTCCCCAACGTTCGGCCACCACAACCGGTTTCCACTTGAAATAACCCTCAGCCTAAATCAAATGGAGTAACTATGTGATGCTTGGTCTTCTCTTTATTCTTATCAATTAAATCTGTGATGTATAGGGAGTACTCGTGGCCTTCTGTCACTCTCATTTTACTGGTTTCACGCCTATTCACAAAATAAGCATTAACCCGGTAAAAGGAAACCTGGACCAAAGCGGTGATGGGCAAATATCTAGCATTTTTCATCACGCTATTGAAAACCTCTGCCAGATTAGAAGTGATGGTACCGTATCTGTACCCGCCATCGTGGTGCAATGACCACATTTCTGGGGGAATGTTCCCCAGAAATTGTCGTGTCTCCAAACTCATTTCACCTCTTCTTGAACCCACCATCAAACTTCTTTTTCTGATGTTGCCGTGCGGTCCGGACAAAAAGATTTTTTAGATGAATGTCTTTGAAATGAGTGTGCACATTCGATGCAAGATGGCGGATACATAGCCTATGATGCGCATAAGGCTCCTCCCAAGTACTTCCCACCTCATTCATTGCCCTGACAATACCTCCATGCCGATCAGAAATGACACACAACTCCCGATTAGTGACAAACTGCCTAATACATGCCATAAACCATGGCCAACTATCCCCATTCTCAGATTCAACAACTGCAAAGGCCACTGGAAATATTTGGTTGTTCGCATCACAACCCATGGCCACGAGCAGTGCACCCTTGTACTTTCCATACAAGTGTGTGCCATCAATAGTAAGTACGGGTCGACAATGCTTAAAACCATGTATTGATGGCTTGAATGCCCAAAAAACTCTTTGAAACTGCATATAACCTGTGGGAGTATTAGGGGGTGGGTACCACTGCACAATAGTTCCAGGATTTGAATGTTGGAGCGATGTCATGAAACGGGGCAATTCAGAATATGACTTCTCCCAACCGCCAAATATTTCTGCTATGGCCTTTTGCTTCCCATCCATGTTCTCCGGTATGATACCGTATACCCATACTTTTCCTTCAACATCTCAATGATAGTATGCACTTTAAGGGAAGGATCAGTGCGAACAATGTCAATCACATCTTTACAGATGAAATCTGAAGTCAAAGCCACGTGATCGGTAGTGTCGGTGTTCCCAACACACGTAGCAGAATGAGGTCCAGGATAACGCACAATTGTGAAGGTGTCAAGGTTGCCTTTGTTCTTTGTGGCGCGTATTCTCCAGGGGCAATTACATTCTTTCTTCCTTTTGCATTGTGCCACCCATTTGTGTTTATCGGACTCTATCACCCGAAAAAATTGGTTCGGTTTGATAGAATACAAGCTCACCATATTGATGACTTGTTCTTTGTTGTCAAACTGTTGACCGACCTCAAACTCACCTTCGGGGGTAAACCTTTTCTCACCTGATCCACTCAGCCACGCATCAGTAAAGCCTTCAGGGAGATCATACATTCTAGTAAAGTGGGTAGACGGGGCAGTTGCCGTGACCGTATCACCATCATCTTCATCAGAATCTGTCATATCTTCACCATTGATGTTGTCATCAGCATCATCATCACTTCCCTACCCATCCACAAATGATGCACCGTTGTGCAAATACCTACCATCTTCCTGTATAACCATGTCCAGTACAGGAGCATTTGAGGAGTTCCCATCATTCACACCTGCATTGACATAATGCCTAGATACAACAGCATTTGATGTTGATGAAGTACGATAAGCGTCACATATGGATTCCTCAATGTATATCTCAAGCATTGACATGTCCTCCATCTGAACTATGCCCCACATATTTGTTATAGCTAGCTCATCAGTGAGGGGCATAAGCATGTACTTTCCCCCGTTCATGAGAAATTTCATTTTCAAACGCAGAGAACGGCTAGGATGAATCATTGTGGCTGTATGTATTTTTTGAAGGATCTCGAGCATGCAAACACCACGACAAACCATGACAAATGTGGTTGTACCACCTTCATGACATATTTGACCAGCATCCTCATAATAGTTCCCTCCCCAATGACACACGATTGGGAAGCTTGAGAAATCCATATTCTAATAACAATTCAAATATATCCAAAAGTCAAGATTCACAAACAACTCACATTTCAATATGAAAATACCCAAATTTTGATATCTACATTCAAATCCACCCAAATGCCCAAATGTCAAAATACACTTTAAAATTTACAATCAATTTCAAATCAAATTTCAACATTTCATAATCTAAAAATTCGAAAATTTTAACATTCAAAACCCTAAGTTAAAAATGAGATGAAATGGAGTTTGATTTACCTACAAGAAAGAAGAAAGAGTGTTGAAGATGAAGATGGAGGTTTGCCGGAGTGGGGTCGCCGGATATGGAAGTTCGCCGGAGTTGGAAATGGCTCGGTCATCGTTCGTCCTTCGTCCTTCGTAGGTGCTGTTTGGGGGATTTGGGGATTGAGTTTCGTTCGCAGTGTTCTGTTTTGTGGTTGGTCGTTGTTTTTACTTAATGGAAAGTCGCCCAACGGTCGGGCGACTTACCCCCGACCACGGTTAACCCAACAGTATATTGGTAAATACTTTTAACCCAACCCTATTTTCGTAATTAATTAATTAATTAACATTAATTCGAAAAAAACTCCAAATTATAGTTTTGTTTCACAAGTTCATGTTAGATGTTTGATATTAAATCAACATTTTAATACTCTTTTATTTAATTTAAGCGTATTATACTGGACTACTGGAGTAGTACATGTGATTAACTAATCCTCAAAGGGAAAACAATGCATACTTCTTCCGATCCCTTTGTTATTTCTGATGTCATCTTAGTCTTGTTATTAGTTATAATATCTTTATCAAAAGTTAATAGTTTCACACTATAAGTTCATCATACTTATATCTTGCACATCACTTAAATATAAAATCATAAGAACTTTTTATTTCTAAATTTGAACCTTCGCAGTTACAAGTTATTTATTTTTATGTTAAAAATTTAAAATCAATTCTATAGTTTATATTTTTACAAGAAGAAAATAAAAAGGTTACACTTTTTAATTTAAAAGCTAGGTAATCATAAATATGAGTTTTTGTGAGAAAAGGGTTGCAGTGGCTAATGATGTTTAAAGTAATGATGTTCAAAATCAATGAAGTTATGTACGGGGTGCGGTCAGTTGGTAAGTAATGAGAGTATATAAAAGGAATGAGAAATTAGATACATTAAGTATACCTTTAGTTGAACATCTTAGAAAATTGCAATGAGAAAACAAACACATTTAAGCGAGAACCATTATAAAAATAATGTAGATCACTTATCAAATGAGACTACTAATGATCTTAAAAAGAAATGAAGCTACCGATGTGCTTGTACTATGGATGGATTCGGGCCGGGTGGCCTGACCCGGGACCGGCACTGTTCCGGCCCGACCCGACCCGGTGGCCTGGTCAGTGACCGGTCCGGGTAGGCCTGACCCGTGGGTTTTCCGGTCCGGGCTCGGGTCACCCAAAACAAGGCCCAACCCGGCCGGGCCCGGTTCGGGCCAAAACTATTTTTTTTTCCAATTTTTTTTATAATTTCAGGTTGGGCTGGGTATTTTGGGCCATTTGAGGTGGTTTGGGGGGTTGGGGTGGGAGGGGGGTCAATTAGGAAGAGAGAGAAAAAAATGATAATGGGTCCGGCCTGACCCGGCCCGGACTCGGACCGGACCCGGTGATTACCCGGGCCGGTCCCAGGTCCACCACTCCTGAACCGCCGGCCCACCCGGGCCTAGGCCCGGACCCGAGTCCACCCCTAGCTTGTACTACTCGTTGTCTTGCTGGTACTACCAAATGAGTCTACCAAATAATACGCTTACTATCCTGGGACAAATAGAGAAAATGACATGTTTAATTATCATTCCTGAAGAAAGAAACAAGTGACCCGATATCCCAATACACATATCATATAGCACTACTATTTGGATTTTTTTAAAGAGTTCTTAAAGAGATGATTAATAAAATGTCAAATGAGAAACCAATAAAAAAACAAAAAGATTAGAAATACATATTACTAAATATGATGATAAACTTGAGTTCCTAATAACACATACTAATAGAAGTAAAATAGTAACTTCTAAACAGTAATCCATAACTTATAAGTTAATTAATGACTTAAAATCAAAAGCAAAGCCTCTAACCAATAAATAAATATGAGATTACCTTGGAATAACAACCAACAATGTCAACAATATGTTTATCCCCCAAGAATTTGTATATCGATCTCTTTGATACTTTTTTCTTATATTGCAGCTACAATGAAAACCTCACGGGAAGAACATAGTTAAAATTATCTTGTCTCCATTTTCAGCACCTGATTTGGTTTATCGAAGTTGTTCTCATTAACAAAGGTGGAAATAAATATTTTGATAGGAGTACACATGGTGTACACAAAGTGTACACCATATAAAAGCCCTCCAAAAAACTCATTTGCCACCCTCCCCATTCTCTCTCCCCTCTCTCTTCCCATCTCTCCCTTATCTATTTCCTCCTTATCCAATTGAAAAAATCTAAAGGTACACAATTTGTGTACATATTCTTACACACTCGTATCTGTGTAGACGTTTTTTTGTTCTGTCCCAGACAAAACGTATTTGACAAATACTTTTTGTCTGGGACAGACAAAAAAAGCGCTTACACAGACACAAGCGTGTAAGAGTGTGTCCACAAGTGTGTACCCCAAGTACACCTCTATCCAATTTATCCGAAAATTCTCAACAAAAATATGGGAGATCATCTTCTCTTCTCCATCTTTCTCTTCCATTCTTCATCCTCTTTTTCTCTACCCTTTTGTATCAAAATTTTCCATTATTTGCACAAAATCAATTTATTTATCTTATTTCATTTTTTTATTATTTTTCTAATTTTTTCAAATTACATGTAAATTCATCACACATACAACTACATCATTCATTTGGATGTATATAGACAAATATTTTTTTTGTTCATCTAGACAATTTAAATTGATTACATCGACAACTAAAGTTAATCACACAGACAACTTTGTTTGTGAGGCGCACGACTATTGTATGTGTGGTAAATATTATCTGTGCGCACAAATGAATAATACTCCGTAGTATGTGTAACAGGAAAAATATTGTTTGTGCACATAGGTACCAGACATATATAGATTGATTTGCAAGCTCGTGTTAGTGTCAGGCGGCTGCCAGTGTACTTTTTTACACCACAATTAATGTCTGTGTACACAGACAACTCTTGTCCGTGCTCACAGACAACTCCGTACCAATTGTCTGTGACCGACATTTTGTGTACAAGTTGTGTACAAATTATGTACTCCTAGCATTTCTAATTTTCATAATATCATGCTAAATGAAAAAATATTTATGAAATTGAGATCAGATTAAAATTATTTTCCAAAATATTGCTAGAGTAAACTACATTTAAGAGAACCACCATTTGAGTTGGCGGTTTAGGCAAAGAAGACAAAGACGTTGGGAGCCCGACCATGACTAATTAAGAGCATCTAAAATGCTTTGGGTGTATTGTGGTGAGGTGTCATCCAAATTCAAAGAGTCTATTGAGCATGTGGACAAAAGTAAACAAATTGAAGAGGGACTATTTTTTCTTACTCTAATGCAAAATAGAAGATAATCATTACAATTTTAAATATTAAATATTGTAACTTGGTGAGGTGAGACCAAAGGTGAGGTGAAAAGCTTTTTTAATGCAATCTAGCTCTCCATTCTAGTTTCCCACTAACCGCAACCCGCTTCGTCAATAAATCTAATTTCCCACTAGTTTATATATATTTACTTGGTCAATTCAATTTTTCCTTGCAATCTAACACGGTCAATATATTCAATCAGCAATTTTTAATTAAAGTCTTTCTTTTATTATTATACATTAATTTTTGTAGATGTTTTTTTGCGAATAATTATGATTTTAAAAGTTATACATTCCAATGTAAAAATAAATGAAAGATACTCCCTCCGGTCCTAAATGAAATTCACACTTTGACTTCACATAAATTGAGGAAATAAATTTGACTTTACTGTAGAGTACACTGTTGTGACACTGTTTGACACTGTTTGACACTATTTTGCACGGTTTTGCACTGTTTTGATATAGATAATTTGCCAAATAAGGAAAGAGAAGAAGTGTGAAGTTTATTTTGGACCTATCCAAAAAGGAAAGTGTGAATTTCATTTGGGACCGGAGGAAGTATAAAATTATTATTTAAATCATGAGATCCGAACTTTACTCCCTCCGTCCCTTATAATTTTGTCAACTTTCCTTTTTTGGTTGTCCCAAAAACTTTGTCACTTTTCCTTTTAACCAATCAATTTATGACTCATGTTATTTCTCTCTTCTGCACAAATATCTACCACACAGTTTTTACTTTATTATTCCACGTGCCGGTCAAACTCGACAAACCTTTAAGGGACGAAGGGAGTAGCATTTAGAACAACTTAAAAAAAAAAATTAAACCTATAAAATCTCTAGCAGATGAAACTTAATTTATTTCTTTAAACTTTACATATGCTATATTGGTGTCACATGAAAGATCATAAAAAAAATATGAATTTTGATATATTTAAAAAAAATACAAGAGTACAAATAAAAAAAGTTATAACGCATTAAAGAAATTTAGGAATTTTATTCTCTTTAGCCCCAGTTTCTAGCGCATTGGAGCCTCCTTTCCCACCTTCATCTCTCTCCGCGAATGAGGCCGCTAATTCCCCAATCTATGGGTGCCATCTAGTCACTATAGCACCTCTAAACATGCGTAACTTGGAATGTATTTAAAAAACATGAGTAGTACATTTTAATTTTAGGACTCATGAAAAATATCTAAAAAGAAAAAATAATTTAGGGACTCATGAGGCAGCTAATTCCCCCCTTTAACATTCGCATACAAAAATATAATCTATTCTAATATAAAAATAAAATATTTTCTGGAAACATTGTTCCTGCTCAAAAAGGTCAACATCAATGAATCATCAGATAATATTTTAAGATAAATGAGAATCAAATTAAAATATTTTTTGGCCAATCGGCCAATGATGAGATAAATGTTCCCATTGGTTAGAAGAGAGGTGGGTACTGTTGACACTATTCAGTTGGTAGCCATATATGTTTTCCGTAATTTTGGTATTGGTCCAAATGAGTGGTCATTGCCGTTGATAGAAAATAGTTGATAGAAAACAGTGTTCCCCATTACAGTGCAATGTATCAATTGGCTGAATCAAGCGGTGCAACTGTTTGAGCTAGGAGTAAAATATGTATCCAAGTATAATTTTAATGGGGATTGCAAAGAGTTAAAATACTAATATCTCATTGGTTGAATTGGGTGGTGTGAATAGTCAAGATATGAATTCAATTGGTTGAATGGGTGATTGAAATAGTAAACCTTATTAATTGTTTGCAAATTCCTGAATTCTCATTCCCCTATATAAGGAGCCTCCGCGCATCACTCCTCCCACACCAATACTGCAATACACATCAAGCTTAATTGCTATAACAGTTTAAATCTATTTCTAAAATGGTTGGGATGTGGTCTATGATTCATGAGATAGACCAAACTAAAACGACTTGGGCTATAAAGGCAAGGGCTACAAGGGTTTATCGTGAACCTGCTCACAACGGATTTCCACCATCTTTGGAAGTGATCTTTCATGACGAAGAGGTTTTTATTTCGTTCTTAACAAATGTTGACAAAACATCACATGCATAGTTCCTACCGTGGGACAGGGAATCATGTTTGATAGGTCGTTCGGCTTCTTCTTTGAAAGAACAAGTGACTAAGGTTTAACACCAATCAAATTTCGATTTGATTTCTCTTAAGTTTCATTAACGACTCCTAAATCATCTAATTAGACTTTGTTTTTCAATAAAGAAATTTCGTTCCTCACTACTTTCCTTCGGAAATCAATGCTCTGATGGATTTCAAAGCATTGTTTCGTGTGTAACACAAGAAAGACAGTAGGAACTACAAGGGCAATCAAAATTTCAGTGTACTTAGGATGAATACCGACCCAAAGGTTATATCCCTTTACGTTTCTGAGTCTATCGCTTCTGAGGTTTTTCCTATGACTAACCATTTGTGGTTTACTGACACCTGAATTTTACAACATACATCATATCACAAAAATGTTTATTTCGATGTTTAGGATGAAGATGAGTTCACCCTTTGGAGAAGAGAGTTTTCTGGGACAGAAAAGGTGAACATCATTTTTGTTTTCTATGTAACCTTATGTTTATGTAGGGTGTTCCCACTAGAGATGTTTCCAGTTTAGGATGTTCTTTACAGAAAAGTGATGGTTCATAATATAATTAACTAACAATTTATTCCCTAAATTTTAGGTTGGGTCTTCCCAGAATTGCAATTCAACAAGCCCACTGCTCAACAAGGAAAAGAGGATTGCCGTAGAAATTGATGGAGAAAGGCTGAAGAGAGATCTTTTTGGAGAATTTTCTTCAACAATGCCGGTGAAAAGAATGAAGGGTGTGAAAATCGAGGAGCCAAAGCCTTGAGGTTATGGTAGGGGCTGGATGTGGATGTTTGAAGTGAGGAGTTCTATTATGAAGACAACTAAATAAAACTATCTCAAGTTGGTGTCTAGCATGCCAAGTGGCTAAGCATGTTATTAGTACTTAGTATGGTTGTTATGTGTTGATGCTAAATAGGCTACTGCGGGAGAAGAAATTTGAACCAGCTGATCATGTCAAGATTTTGATGATAAAGGACTGCAGGAACATGGAAGAAATGAATAGGGTCGTTGAGTATTTGAGCGAGATAAGGAAAAATGGTCTAGGACACGGTCTGTATAGTTATAATACCCTTTGATTTTATTGGTTTCTATTTCATTTTACTCTAGAATATGTTATTGGAGGATCGCTTGTTCTCCGAGAAAGTACACCATGAGCCGGTTTGGTAACTATGAAATTGGTTGAATCTGGTGAAATGACTTAAGTTATGGCTGAAACAATAGAACTGATGGTGAAAAGGGAAAACTACGCTCAAATATATACGGAGTATTACAAATGAAATCAAGAAAAATTATATGGGAAAATTGCTAAAATTGTTTTCTCCATCAACTTCAATCTATTCAACTAAATAAGTAAATCTAGGCATGCTTATTTTGATTATTTTACAATTTAATGCACAAATCAATATTTTAATGTTTGGTATATAATGGATTATAAAATTGAAAATTTGAAAATATTAATAGGTCTTCATTTATCTTCAAATATTAGTTAAATTTTACATAGTTTTTTGAAGATGGACGGAGCCACATGTTTTATAGACTTCTTTGTAAGAAAGCGGCATTGCACATTTGCACAATTGCACTCCACTGTGTAACTATGTTTTGTTCACTTTTCTTTTCCATTTCGCCTCACTTGAAAATTCAGGTTTGTTACCCGAAAATGGTTGTTTGTATTTTCAAAAGTTATTTTTAATGTCATTTTTGAAAAAGTATTTTAGAATAAATGCATGTAGTGTTTGAGAAAATTTATTTTCAAAAAATAAAATTTGATTGTGTTTGATCAAAGGTACTTTTTGTATAATAGAAAAAATGAAGAGCATTTTTAAACACATCTACATGCTTTCAATTTAAACCTTTAAAATGCTTAATTTAAATACAATTTGTTACTTTTTGTTTGAAAGAATAGAATTTGTTTATTAAAAACACCAATTTGAGTTTTTTAAGCAAAAAGTTGAAAAACAATTTTTTTAGCAGAACTAGCTTTTCATATAATTTTAAAGTCACATACAAAGTACAAGTTAAATTTAATTTAATAAAATTACGTATTTTAATTAATCATATAAATGTGAATGGTGCTCTATAATGTATTGTTGTACGTAGTATTTGCCAAATCTAAGGTAGTACTTGCTGCAAAGTAAAATTTTCTTCTTTTTCAGGATGTAGTGGCACTGTGGCAGTAGTTTCAATTATATCACTAATGTTACATTGTTACCATAGAAGCATAGACCTTTTTAAATGCAATAGTAAACAAGATTGAGCGGTTTACAATGATAAAGGAAAAAAGTTGGCCCATTTTAACCCTTCATTCATTACTTCAAGGAGTTCAAGCGCCTAGTAATGTCACCAACCCAGACCATTCTGCTCTCAACATATGAATATATGATCAACACAAAATGGTCATCTACAAAACCCTGAGAAAGAACAAATAAGGTGTGTATGCTCATCACTCCATTGGGGAAGGGCCCACCATCACTTTATCAACATCAGCAACACTTCCTAGCATGACTGCAGTCAGCATCAACCTGCCCGCATCTGGGAAATCATTGTGCTGCATCACTATCGACTCCACAGAGGACGAAGAAATCACAGAGCTTTCATCTTGCCTCAGTGGCAACACTTCATTGAAACCGCCCTCATAGGTCTTTGCATGGGGTGCGTAACACCTACTGGAAGCCTGGAAAAGAACTGTGTCTTGGAGAATGGATAGGCTCTCCTCGTCACCCCAACCCTCTGCTTCAGATGTTTGGTATAGCTTTTCCCAATCATCCTGATTAGTAGCGTTTCTCCAGCACTCTTCCAACAGGCTGGTGTTGGATTTGAGGAAGGAGAAGCTTGTCCATGCAAAAACATCAAAAGCTCTCAAGGAGAGCTCTCTGGTCTGACTCTTGAGGCATAGTTCTATTAGATCCCTTGGAGGAAGAAGCTGATGTGACTCCATATTTAGCCTTTCATCGTCGGGAAGCAGTTTCAAGATTTCTTCCTGCAGGACAATTGAACTTTTTAAGGAAATAACTTTCTTTATTGTATCGTTGGAAAAAAGAACATATCTAAATAACAATATGCAGCATTAATTTATAAAGAATAAAGTCCTGAGGATGCGTGGTGTTGTTTTTAAAGTCCTTCTGGAACTCGGTAAATGCTAGAAAAAAACAGGAGCCATAATAGGGAGGAAAACTTGTGGGAAACATAAAAGATCATGATGGATAGTGTACCCGGAGGGTAGCTTATCCGAGGGGTTATTACGGGGAATAACTAGAGAGAAGTTAGAGCAAGTAAGTAGAGAGGGAGAGTATATTAGAAATGTATTCAGCGTATTCGCTTCTTTTTTACAAATGGAGGAATGAGGTGCTATTTATAGTAGCACTAAATGCCAGATGGGGACACGTGTCAAGCATCCATTGGCCGAGGGGTCACCTCAACTGGTTGGCGCTGGCAATCGCATGTGACCGCATTTAATGCGGCTGTTGGATGTGACGTCGTACTTGGTACGGTGATCTACGCGCATGTGGAGCGGATATTATGTCGGAAAGGTGCTCTCGGTTGTAGATGATTAGCCGAGGGCTCTGAGTACCGGGGACCCCCTTAGTGCCGAGGGCTCTAGGTGTCGAGAGCTACTGATTTTCGCCGTTTTCTCCCAGTAACCTTGTCTTCCTGATTTGACCCTCCTGTGAGATTCAGAGCCTTCGGCCAGGGGGCCGAAGGCACCCTTGGTGCGCATTGTGGGCCGCTTGGTACTCTGGGCGTCGTGATTTGGGCCTGTTGTGCTTCCTGGGCCTATTGGACCTTTATTGGAGTAGTAGGAGTCTGTGGGCCGGGGGTTCCCGGGCCATATACTCCATCAGATCAGTTTATTCAAACTCAATTAATATATTTTTATATTAGCTCAAGTCTGATTTTTTATTACACATATATAGATTAGTAAATCAAAATATAAATATATAGAGGACTTTTCAAAACATTACTGAAATAAAACTTATTTCCGAAAATGTAATATGACTAAAGTTGCTATGAGTAAAGTCTCTCAAAAGGCTTAATTGCACTCTTATAGAGGAATATTTTCAAAGGGTCAAAAAAGCTTTAAAAGTCTAGACGTTTTACCCACAGCTGGGACCCTCAATTACTATTATAGTCACTACACTTAAAAGGTTACATGTTTGTAAACAACTTTTATTTTAGTTTGTAATTGTTTCATATGAAGTATATATATAAATAGTTGAGAAGTTTATTTTATTTTCCTCTTTACTTAGCAGCTTATCCCCTTAAAATTCTTCGGAATCCAAATCCATTGTGTTGGTAATGAAAGAAGAAAAGTATGGTTTCCTAAAACTACAATCTGAACAAATTTATTAGTTCATTTGCAGAATAATGCTCCAAGCTACGGAGACCAGACCTAAAATACATTCTTAGACAAAATCTCAAGTTGTAATTGCTTCATACTAAGAATCTGAACAGAAAACATCAACCACTCAGATAAAACAAAAGTTCACATGAAAAAGAGAGAACTACAAACTCGGACTAATTAACATCATGTACTTACCTGTAAGTTTAGAAGTTGTATATCAGCATCAATTCTCTTCAACTTTGTCTCAAAATTTGCACCCTTTCCTGTCAAATGTCAAAATATTATTCATGTTTCATACCAGAAAATGAGGAAGCTATATGAAATCACACAGCGAACTTCTTTGGCCCTTTTTGTAGCCAAGCAAGCAGGAAAACAAAAACAACTAGCGAATTAAACATTATGCTCTCCCTAAACAATTTTAGCGAATTAAACATTATGCTCTCCTACAGAAGATTCAATTCCTGTTATTGACCCACCTTTTGATTTAAGAAGGTGAACAATTTTCTCTGAGAGACAAATATGAAATTATGGGCTTCTGAAGTTGTGCTAAGTGAAAATATCCCAATCCAGAGGGACTTTTTACAATACACTACGTATAAAGCAGCTTAATATGAAGTACATGACTCCTTTTTGTAGCAATTTAATGAGCAATTCCATATTAATTTATTTTAATGTCCGTAAACAAAAAATGGAATATGCACTATGCATTCAACAAACCGATGTTTCCCTGTTAATGTCTACCTTAATGAAGTATACAATACCTGCCATGGCTGCTATCTTTGAGAGATTCAGAAAACGCTTTCTATCTGACAAGGGGGTCATCTTATCTGTGGCGTAAGAGGTCTCCATATCTGATGTTGAACTGTCATCTTGGGAAAGAGCCAAGACATGTAGGGTTTCTGTAGCAGAGGAAAACTGATGAAGAAACACTTCGTGAAGCCAAAGGAGATCATGGTGCTGCTTTAGAAAAATTGCTAGCTCTTCCTGGAACTCCTCCCCAAGTCTCATCAGCTTAGAAAACTGCTTGTTATCATACATCTGTTGGAAGACAAAGTAACTAAACCCCCCTGTAGGTCCCGTGCTCTCGTGCTGAAAAAAAAACAGGAATCTTAAGGGAGGCTAGACCAGAAATAAACATCACATTCAGAAAGCCACTTCAATCGGGAATGTGTGATATAAATAAAACTCAACATTACAATCGGTAAGACAAGACACTGACAGAGCACTGTGGCATTCTAGGAGTACCATGGCACCCTATTAAGTCTGAATTTTTTTATACGTAATAACTATAATTTATAGATACACTTTTTATATGTGGGATCCGATCATCGAAATTTTTAGTCAACTAACAACCTGATTTTCTCTTGGATGTGTATTTCTCTTTTTAGAATCCCATAATAAGGAACTAAGAATCGATAAATGAGATCCTTTTCATCCCATAATGAATGTTTAACAAATTTTTAAAAAATATTCTTGATAATGGTGATAAATGTATCGATTTACTAAATTATATTATTGCTTTTCAATTTTCATGAATAGATCAAATTCTTTCCCGAGACTTGATGATGTACCACATTAGTTGATTCTTATCCTATGCCCACATGCACAAACTTTTATATTTTTGAATTTGTATTTTTGTTGTCATATAAACATTTATTATGTTAAGTATTTATCTGAATTACAAAAAGTGTGGAGATATTAGAATATTTGGTTGATTATAATGAGATTTGTTCTGATCATGATCTGATTTCCTAGAATCAAGTAGGAGATTTGTATTAATTAGAAGATCTTGTACATAATTACTCTTTCCTTTATTAAGTTAGCCTAGGCCTATAAATTGTATTTAACTTCT